CGTACGTGCGTGCGTGCGTGCATGCGTGCGTGCTCGCTCTTGTCTGCGCATGCATGTGTGCGTGCACGCGTGCGTGCGTACGTGCTTGCGTGCATGCGTGCGTGCGTGCGTGCATGTGCGCATGTTTGCGTGCGTGCGTACGGGCGTACTTGCGTGCGTACGTGCACGCGTGCGTGAGTGCGTGCGTGCGTGAGTGTGTACATGCGTGCGTGCGTTCGTTCGTGCTTGCGTGCGTGCGTTCGTTCGTGATTACGTGCGTGCGTTCGTGATTGCGTGCATGCGTGCGTGATTGCGTGCATGCGTGCGTGCGTGCGTGTGTGTGTGTGCATGCATGCTTGCATGCGTACGTACGTGCGTGCGTGCGTGCGTGCGTGCGTGCGTCTGTGCATGCGTGTGTGCGTGCATGCGTGAATAACTTAGGCTACTTTTATTTTAGAAATAGAGTTAGGGTTTCGCGCAAAAAAATTAAAACCCCAATTAACACGCGGGCGAAGTCGCGAGGAGCAGCTAGTTTGTTATATGTACCGTATAAATATACTTTCATATGCATTGAGTAAAAAGCTGTAATTTTGATATTACAAACAGACACTTCAATTTTATTTATTTGTATAGAAAAAAAATTAGATTTGCGCGTAAATAAATTAAAATCCATAAAATCCAATCGTAATAAATTGCACGCGGGCGAAGTCGCGGAGAGTAGGTGGTTACTGATATTTTCGTTAACCCCTCTAATCTGATACTACTTTTATTAGAAGTGGTTCACGATAGAAGTTGAATGGCGGATTAGAACCGAAGATATATTAAGTTTGCAGTCCGTACTCTAACCATTAAGTTACATTAGCCATATTAAAAATTTAATATATTGAATTTCGTTAATACGAGGACTGCACTAATAGTATCGGGAATGGAATATTTCCACTGTTCCTGTCATATTAAAATTTTTTTAATTGAAAAGTTCTCGGTTTTAAAAATCGAATACCATTTATTTATTTAAAAAAAGATTCTCGGTCTTGTCACAAGGTTTTGTCAAACTTGTTTACTCGTTGAGAAAATGGAATTGACTCGAGAAAATTCAAGAGCGATGATTTATTATGACTTTCGAAGTGGTTTAACACAAAAACAGTGTGTTAACCGGATGATTTCTGCATTTGGTGATGGAGCCCCATCCAAAACCACAATTTATCGCTGGTTTGCTGAATTTCAACGTGGACGTGTCAAGCTCAGTGATGATCCCCGTCAAGGTCGTCCAAAAACTGCACTCACCCAAGAAAACGTTGATGCTGTGCGTAAGCTGATTGAGGAAGATTGACATGTGACATACCGCGAAATTCAGGCAACTTTAGACATTGGCATAAGTCAAATACAAATAAGCTTGCATGAACAATTAGGTGTAAAAAAGTTGTTTTCCCGATGGATACCGCATTCGCTCTGTGAAGAGCAAAAAGCGCCTCGCGTTACTTGGTGCGTCAGAACTCTCGAAAGATTCCACGCAGGATCGTCAAATGCTGTATACAACCATTGAGATAATATGTTACTACGTAACTAGAGTCGCTACTACCAACAAGCACTGCGTTGTACAAAACATTGGTGCACGCTCCTCAATGGGCCTTATTCGCTGTTTAGTGAGAGACCGAGATAGACGGTGCAGAGATTACGTAAATAATTAATTATGCCGTATTGCGTACTTAGATACTGTAAAAATAGTTCTAGAAATTCATCAAAATCTGAAGGAGTAACATTTCATAGGTAAGTAATATATTATTAGGTGAAATTCGTATAATTTAGGTAAATTTTCTGTGATTTGAAAGAATTAAATAAATCATAATTGCTCGCTCGCTTGCACGCGCTGCTATTACGTAAGAGCGAGAGAGATAAAAAAGAACGAGCATGGATTAAAGCTCCTATGGCACAGAAGCGACAACTCTTTTATAATTAAGTCATAACCTATATTAATATTGTCCTTTTTCTTTTATAATTTCTATTATAGTATTTACTATTTTATTGTAAACACTCTTCTCTCAATTTTATAACGCAATAAAAAAGAACGTAAAATAAACATTCTACTATAATAATGTTTTATTTGTGTGTAATTTTTTTTCTATATTTGATGTATCAATGTATCTTTAAGGATTCCACGTGTTTAAGATTTTTCATTTTATTTTATTTTTTAATGAGTTAAGTATACATATTTAGCAGTCAATATTTTGTGGGTGGATGATGAAAAAATGAATAAAAATACTTTTCAATACTTTGTTGTTTAATTTAACATTATGTAAGTAATGTAAAATGTATAATATCACCTCTATTTTATTAATCTATGACCGACGTCATCGAGACGCGTGGTGGGGTGTAATCGGGACGCGAATTTACTGGGAAGCGGCGACTCTAGTTACGTAGTAACATATTATCTCAATGTATACAACATCGTATTAGGTGACGAATCCTGGATATATGCGTACGAACCCGAAACAAAAAACCAGTCACGAGAGAAAATGAGTTAAAGCCAACAAAAATTGTTCGTTCACGGAGTGTTGCAAAAAAAAAAATGGTGGCCATGTTTGTCTCCAAAACCGGCCATGTTACGACTATTTCTCTTGAGGGAGAAAGAACGGTTAATGCAGAATGGTATGCTAGCATTTGTTTGCCACAGGTCGTTTCTGAACTCCGTAAAGAGAACTGCAACCGCCGCATCATCCTCCATCACGACAATGCGAGTTCTCACACCGCACACAGAACAAAAGAGTTTTTAGAGCAAGAAAACATAGAGTTATTAGACCTTTCGCCGTACAGCCCCGACCTAAGCCCTAATGATTTCTATACTTTCCATAAAATAAAGAATAAATTGCGTGGACAGAGATTTTCATCACCTGAAGAAGCTGTGGACGCCTACAAAACGGCCATTTTGGAGACCCCAACTTCCGAATGGAATGGTTGCTTCAATGATTGGTTCCATCGTATGGAAAAATGTGTCAAATTTCGCGGAGAATACTTCGAAAAGCAATAAATACATTTTTAAATAGTAATGTTGTGTCACTTCCTTGATTCCCGAAATTTTCAGTGCCGCCCTCGTATAACCTTCCTGTAATGAACACCCACTATGTTGTACTGTGTTTTGGAAATGACATATCAGCTGACAATTCTCCCATGAATAGCCTAATTTGCATACCTAATGAGGGCTACTTCAGAGGTATTGCTACATACTTTCTCTGTTTGTAACGTCTTCGTGTGGTGGTGATTGAAAATAAAAGGTTGCTGATTAAATAAAATAAAATATGAATTTCGTAGACAAGAAACGTAAGTTCTTATTTTTTTAATAAGGGACTATTCGTTCAGCGGGGGGGGGGGGGGGGGGGGTTTAAAACGCATTCTTACGTAATATTTTGTAAGCTAAAATTACAAATGAAGTTTCATCTACCACTGCATCTGATGAATGATTCTGATGAATCTGATTGTTTCTGATTGGACTACATCTGCTTACTACCCCATTCAGTCCATTGTAGATTGTTTAACTGATTTACGTTTGCTCACTTTAAGAATACAGTCAAGTCTGGCAACTACCAATGAAAGTTAACTTTGCCATCAGGGATGTACTGGTACAAAATTACGATTAACGCGGAAAACGTAACCTTTTTCGAGATATATCTCATTAAGATATGTATCATTTTTTGGATGAAAACACAACAACTAATTGACAACATTGCTTTCGATATGGCAACATAAGAGTTAATTTTGGCATTTTATTTTAACGCAGAATTGTGCCAGCGAAATAACCTCTGTTCAGTGCTCCAGAACTTTTGTTGATTTTGTAGTAACATAATATTATTGGTTATCAAATGTGATATATCGTTTTTAAAATGTTGGTTTTGACATTTATCTATAAAACTAACTTTTTTTTTGTGCCCAGAAGCAATTGAAAGGGGCTACCCCCGTAAACGAGAGGGAGGTGGTGAATGCTTTATGCATACCATGACAGCCGGCTGTCGTGGTTATGTGGGACTCACTGTGACTAACCTAGCCTAACCACCCTAAGTGTACCCACTAAACACCACCTGTGAGACTGGCATTGGCTTATGAGGCCTTTCTACCGAATCGGAAGCGACCCTCTTTTAGGAAAAGGGGGCGCAGATAATAAAACTAACTTGGCAAAGTTACCATACTAGTGATGCCACAATGTGACGGTTACTTTACCATGTTTTGCTACAACCAAGGGTTGTCACTTTCAACCTATATTTTTAACCGTTTACGACTATTTAAAGAAAGTATAATAAATAGAGAACTAAAACTAGAAACTTAATTATCATATAGTCCTACTTAAAGAAAGGGTTCTGTACTTGATATTCTATGTATATATTCTATGTATGTATGTTTATATAGACGTTTTTTTTATAGTGGGTATATGGGTGACAAACGAGCACACTTTTGTCAACCATATTCTATAAAAAAAAAGGAACAAACGAACGCGGGGACACAGTGCACCTGATGGTAAGTAGATGCTGTGGCCCATAGACATCCACATGTATCCAAAAATCGACAAAATCGTCCTTACGTAATTAATGAATGGCCCCTAAGGGTGACAAATGAGCACACAGTCCACCTGAAGTCATTATATCTGTAACTACCATATTTCTTGCAAATAAATTACTATTAGGTACTATTCGTGTATGCTGCGGCCCATATCTATAACCGATTAAGAATCAAAATGCATACGCGTTGTAACCCGTGAGGACTAAGATGGAATGCCTCTTTCCAAGTAAAAAGGGGTCTCCGGTTCTCTACACTCACCATAGGAAACACAGCAGCATTAAGCTGCTATTTCATGCAGGTGTTCTGTGAGAGCGCGATCCTGTCCCGGTCGAGCCAACCCATTCGGGCTACAGCAGCATGACTCTACCAAAACCTTATTTACGGCTAGTGCTTCGTTCTGAGCTACCACGGTTCAAATTATCTGTTAACTTAAGATGATCTCTAAAGAAACATGTAAAAGGAGTTGACATCTGCAGCTCGAGTGTCCCGCAAGCCGCCCAAGGCTACGCCTCCTCCGCGTAGGTCTCTGCCACGGGCCACGCATCTGCGCTCCGCATCGGCCGGCCGCGACAAACGTTCCGAGTTACGTGCGAGATACTGGGCACTGCTGTTTGGTGATCTGCAACGCGCTGTAAGTACTATTTTTACCCGAAAAGGGGGGTATTGTTTTTCGAGAGTAGGTACGTGTGTATGTATGGTTGCGAGCCCCCGTTCTATGTTTTAGAGGATTTTATAAGATTAAATGTAGGAGAGAGGATGAAAATAAAGGATATCATATTTTAATAAAATGCTGTTATGCTATCTGTAGCAACATTTATTAACCGAACATCGCGTGTTAACCTCAAAGTGATTTTTAAACTCTTTGACCTCAACTAGCACGGGGAATGTCGAATGCGTGCGATATTGCCTTGTCCTAAGATTTCAAATTATCCTACAAGATCAATTTTTGGTTCTCTAAAATAATGGACGTCTGGCAACACTATATGTATTTGTAATTCTTTGAAATGCTTTATGGCATGGCTTGATGGTTTTTAACATATGAGGTGAGGTTGACTCGTTTTAGTTACGGAAGTGGACGAGCACACAGTCCACCTGATGGTAAGAGCGTAAATAGATGGTAAACAGCGTTAAGCTGCTAATTTACGCGGGTATTCTGTGAGAGCGTGGTCCTTCCCCGGAGTCAACCCATTAGTGCTACAACTATACTACTAATATAGCTGCAGCATGGTCATTTCTGTAGTTTATTTAGAGTTGATTTTTTAATTTTTGTTTTAATCTTTAAGGTTGGTATATGCACACCCTTAAAGTACAGTTACCACCTATGTACGTCCTATTGCTGGGTACAGGCTTCGTTTCATTTCTGACGAGGGTTATGAAACAATTCACTGTGATCTGTGAATTGTTCCATAGCACACATTTACAACTTCCGAAAAAACGTCCTGTTTTGAATATGTGTACTCCTTAAGAATCTTTCTTATAACAATGTCTATGCGTATATATATAATTATAAAAAAGTATATATAATTAACATGCTTAAACTGTCATTAAAAATTTTCGATTTTTACAATTGACTGGAACATTTATTTCACGAGAATAGACCAGTGATATTGATCCGCCGCTCGTAAGACATATATAGAATGGTAGGTGCAAGGCCACCAAGTAATTGACAATTTAAGTAACTTATACTGAACTTTTTAAGTCTACTATTTTAATAATTATTGCGAGAAGCTATCAATAATTAATGAAACTAATTGACTTACATTGTTGTCGATATATCTATAATTAGTACTTTCAGATTCAAGTTATTGATTCGGGTTTTCTTATGTCCGTAAAGCTTGATACAAGCGCAAATTGAATATATTAAAACAACGCTATAAGGTACAAAATCAAATGTACTAAATATTGCAACTTATTATTTTAGATATTCACTTTTTCTACCATTATATTTATCATTTATCATTTCCTATACGATTTGCAGGTTGGTGAAATCTACAATACAGTTGAAGCCCACGAGAACCTAAATGAGTGCCAAGAAGTAATATTAGTTCTAGAAAACTACACGCGTGATTTTAAAGCATTGGGGGAATGGTTTAGATTGAAATGGGAATACGATAATACTCCTCCACCGCAACGGCCACAGAGTTTGGCTTGGGAGATAAGAAAAACTGATTTCGTTCGGCCGGAATCTCGACGTGCACATTCCGTAAAAAGTTCCCCATCAGTATCTGGTAAAAATAGCCCTTGCTTATCTGGACATAACACTCCAAGCGGTAAGAACAGCCCTAATTTGACAGGCAAAGCTAGTCCAGGCAGCGGCAAAATTAGTCCAAGGATTTCGACATGCCATTCCAGTACTAGTCCAAAAACAAACATCGAATTCTTTACCAACAAAATTGTGGTATCCAAAATCACTACTAAACCTGAGCCCAAATCAGCTAAAGAACCAACCAGACTTTCAGATATTAAAGAAAAAGATGTCAAAGAAGCAATAGACGAGAAAATTATGGAAGATACAGAAGTAGATATTAAAAATAACGTTAGAGAAACTAAAAGCCTTCAAGAGAGTGATCAAATTATTACAGTTGAAATAGGAAAGGTTAAAGAACTGCCTAGTACTACTCCTAAACAAGTTAACATAAAATCACCAAAAACTGTCAAACCGACTGTAAAAAATGCTAAAACACCGCCTGACATTGATCATACTAGCCACATTAATGCTCAATTAGATGCAATGGAGAATGAATTTTTAATAAAACAGCTAACAGCGGTTAAGGCTAAAAATGAAAATTGTTTGAATGAAGAGAAAGAAGTTGAAATTACTAGCGATGAAATGAAACATGAAAATTCAGAAAACAAGACACCTTCAAATGACGAGAATGATGGTCTGCCGACTACATCACCTACTAAATCGGAAGAGAATTTTGCGGATGTATCAAATGAGAGTTCGCCTAAATATTCTGTTGACAACTTAAAAGATACTTCTGGCCAGGTAATTGGAAATAATGAATTGATTCATAACGTGTTAAATGAAAAAGAAATTTGTAATGACAAAACACAATCGGTAGATGCCATTGCCTCAGATATAACACCTAGAATAAATTCTGCAGAACATTTTCAAGAAACAGAAAATAATGACGATTTAAGTAAACCGAGAGAAGATGTAAAAGGAAATGTGCCAGAAAGTGCCCAAAAGGTGGACAGCTTTGTTAATGAAGCGACTATACTCCAGTTAAATAAAGGTCATTTAAAAGAAGCACATGATATTACACATGATATCAGCGTCAATAAAGAGGTTAAACATTTAAATGACATTAAAGATCTTACTAACGATGCTAAGATGAAAAAGCCAATTGAAGAAGGTAAGGATACACATGATATCAGCGTCAATAAAGAGGTTAAACATTTAAATGACATTAAAGATCTTACTAACGATGCTAAGATGAAAAAGCCAATTGAAGAAGGTAAGGAAGAACTTAAAAAAGAGCCGGATTTAAAAAAGCCAGAGGCCAAAGTGATTTTAGAAGCAAAGTCAATCACGAAGCCTGCATATTCACAAGCGGCTGCGAAACCTAAACCAACAAACGCTGTTAAAGCAGAAGTAAAAACGCCTACGAGAACTGCTCTTGTGAGAAGCTCAACTGTTGTAGAAATGCGGCCTAACACAGCTCCTAAAACTCAGACACCATTCCAAAAAAGAAGTCAAGCTAATAAATGCAGCTATCCCTTCAACTTGACTACTAGTCGCACCAGTCTTTTTGACACTCCAACCTCAAATACTATTAACAGAGCACCACTGTCGAAACGGTCAGTAAATAAAAACAGTCATATGGCCTCAGGTGACGCAAAAGTAGTTCCTAATAAAGTAGATCTTAAAAAGCGTCCACCAAGACCAACCGCCTTAAAAGTAAACGAAAAAGGTGATAAGAAAGAAAAGATTAATCAACCATTAGAAAAAATAAAAGACTATGAAGAATATAGCAGCTGTGATACGATAGTGACTCAAATAGATATGTCAAGGATCGAATCCAGCGAGAGCTTGAAAACATTAGTTCCTGAGGAAACACAACTACACGATGTTGCCAATTCGATAGAAGTGCTCAATGTAGACAACAACAAGAACGATAATGATGGGTGGTTGACTGTCAAGTCCAGGCGACTGTGTCGCGAATCAAAGAAGCAATCAAAGTCTCACTGGGCGAATAGGTATCACCAACCTTCCGCTACAACAAGTTTGCCAACATTAAACATGTTAGAATCCCCTAAAGAAGATACAAACGCTATAGTAGAGTCACCCAAAGCCACTAAAACCGATCGCGCGAAATCTGAGCAGCCAGAAAATGTTGTCAAAACGGAAAAACATGTAAAAGTTGAAAATGTCGTAAAAGTACTTCCTACACAAAAGATTGAAAATAAACCTAAAGACTTGGCTATGATTAGACAAAAATCGGACGTCACTGGCCTTAAAACTAAATCGTCTAGAAACAAAGTGCTTACAAAGAAGGCAGAGAAGATCATAGATAAATCAAACACAGAGGAACATTCTGATTTGAATAAGAACAGGCTCCATTCGTCTTTGGAAAGCCTTACGACTGGCCTGGCGAGGTCTCAAGAGAGCACCGAAGAAGCATTTGATTTTGATAAATGGAAGGCTGAATTTAAATTAACATTCAAGTATCTCGATGACGAGGACCAAATTCCCAATCATAATGAGATTCTGAAAGCAGCTGATCCGTCTGAGATGTCGGAGATTGCGGAAATGACATCACAGATTGAAGAGAACGAGAGGAAAATTAGTTGGGCCTTGGACTTTCAATCGGAAGTTGATCAAAGAAAGCTCTGCGAAGAAGAGGATTTGCTTAATCGACAGATTATGGAGCTGCAACAAGTTTCTGATATTGACTTAGACACAGAGACTGATGATACAGAGGTAAGTTAATAATCTTTTTAATATTGATTTATATGTGTTTATAAAACTAGCTGATACCCGGGACTTCGTCCGCGTTGCTTGATCTATTAACAAAGTTTTCGTATGTGCGAAGGAAAAAACATCAAAAAGACAAAATTTCACAAATTTTAGTTTGTAGCTAAAATATGTAAATTACTTGGGTTAGTAACGCGAGAGCAAGCGACGTACAGTTGACTGTGTGTAAAACCATGTATAAAAGTCGTTGTTTCTTAAAACTTTAATAACTTTGTATTAAATGCGGTTTTCGTCGGGGTCGATCAGCTGGTGATCTTCTGGTCTACCTGACCCATAGATGGGCGAAGGCAGTAGAGTCCAAGGGGAGGCGTTGGCCGTTAGTTTGGACATTGCGAAGGCCTTCGACCGGCTTTGGCACAAAGCGCTTCTTTCGAAGCTCCCTTCCTATGGGCTTCCCGAGAAATTGTGCAATTGGATCACCAGCTTCCTTGCAGATCGGAGCATCAAGGTCATTGTAGACGGTGCATGCTCCGACTACAAGCCTATTAACGCTGGTGTTCCACAAGGCTGTGTGCTATCACCAACGCTGTTTCTTCTGCATATCAACGATCAATGATATGTTGCTAACTGGTAACATTCATTGCTATGCGGATGACAGCACTGGTGATGCTCTTTACACCGGCCGTGCCAATATTTCACGGGAAAACGTCTCCGAGTACCGGAAGAAACTTGTGTCTAAAGTCGAGTCTTTGCTTAACAAAGTCTCGGATTGGGGGCGACTAAATCTAGTCCAGTTTAATCCTCAGAAGACACAAGTTGCGCGTTTACCGCTAAAAAGAACCCCTTTGTCGTATCTCCTCAGTTTCAAGGCACTCCCTTTCTTGCCTCAGCCAGTATCGAAATCCTCGGAATCGACATATCAAGTGACGTGCAGTTTTGTGGTCATTTGGAAGAGAAGGCCAAATGGGCCTCTAAAAAGCTTGGCGTGCTCAGAGCGGGACAGTATTTCATGCCGGCACACCGCCTGCAACTTTACAAGGCGCAGGTTCGGCCTCACATGGACTACTGTTCCCATCTCTGGGCAGGGGCTCCCCAGTGCCAGCTCCTTCCACTTGACCGCATCCAGCGCAGAGCGACTCGAATTGTCGACGACCGAGTCCTTTCCGATCGGCTCGATTCATTGGCACTGCGAAGAGATGTTGCATCCCTTTGCATTTTCTTTTGCATCTACCATGGGGAGTGCTCTGAGGAATTGTTCGGATTAATCCCAGCTGCCAAATTTCACGAACGCACATCACGGCAGAACTCCCGATACCATCCACACCATCTGAATGATTGGCGGTCCACCACTGTGCGATTTAGAAGATGTTTTCTTCCTCGCACGAGTTCTTTGGGGAATCGATTACCATCAGCGATTTTTCCGGACCGATACGATTTAAGGACCTGCAAGAAAAGAGCGTACTCCTTTTTAAAAGGCCGGCAACGCATCTGCAATTCTCTCCCTGGTGTTGAAAAATGAGGATATAGCAATATTTTTTTAGCTTATGGCCAAGTGTTTAAGAAATAAAACTTAGAAAACCTAATTGAAATCTATCCAGTACAGTCAATCGAGGTAACTTTGACAGATCATCACTAAGTTTTTTCAGTTAACTTTTACTATGTTAAATATGAGACAAAAGAGTTTACTTCACTTTTTTAACAGTGGTAGAGCCACGCGGCAGCTTTTGCTGTCGCACGGATGGTCCGGCTCGAACCGGGGTGGTACCACGACCTCACAGAAAACCAGCGTGAAGTAGAGGTTTACCTCTGCGTTTCGCTTGGTGAGTGCAGGTGGCCGGAGGCCCTTTTTACTGGAAATGAGGCATTCCATCTTAGTCCTCACGGGTGACAACGCATCTACGTTTTGATTTGTAATAGAGGATAGATGTAGATGTCTATGGGCCGCAGCAACCACTTACCATCAGGTGGGCTGTGTGCTCGTTTGTCACCCTTATCCTATAAAAAAAAACTTCATCTTTGCTCTCAGGTTAGTATTCATACTCTGAAGATATTTAAAGTCCATAAAAATCATAAAATATATTAAAAACGCAATTTTGTTGTGTGTCAAAGTTATAACCCCTATATGGATAACTTTGACACAGATGAGATTTATCGCAGGAATCTTAACTTTTAAACATTTTATAGCTTCAGGGTAAAATGTTTAAATTTTTTAATAAATGTCAGATGCAGTGGAGTCATAGAGAAGTCAATAAAATCATAAAGTTGTAGTTTTATCTTTATTTAAATTCTTTGGTAATCACATTTAAAATTTTAAAAGTTTACCACTGCAAAAAGACAACAGTTGCGCGCGGTACTATTAAATAACTTTTTTACATTAACTTCGTAAGATAGCTTCTTTTTTTCCAGGGAGTTCGTTTACAAAGTTTGTTAAGTACACGAATTGCATAAATTTAATGTTATGCACTAAATGTTGTGCACGTAAAAAATAAAAAAGGATGCGATCTGACTGTCAAAGTTACCATTGTTAATCAAAGGTTAGTAGTTTAATCAAAGTTACCCCGATTGACTGTAGCTTTTCCGTAATGCGCGCAAATCTCTATCATTTTATTTATATAGATAAGGGTAACAAACAAGCACACAGTCCACCTCATGGTAATTCGATGCTGTGGTCCATAGACATCTACATCTATACTAGATTAAAAATCATTTTGTGAATGAAGCTAGATGCCTTGTTACCAGTTAAAAGGGCCTATTGTTGTCTGACATACCATAAGTCTGTAACATTATATAAACATATATTAAATAATACGATAAACAGCAGCATTAAGCTGCTATTTTCACATTAGTGTTCCATAAGTGTGGTCCTCCCTCAGTTCAACCGACCCATACCATAATATAGCTCCAGCGGGGCTCTAGCATGTTAATCTTTATTTCTAACATGTTTCTTGGAAACATCTCTCGATATATTGTTACTGTTTTGGGACTAAAATAAAAAAAAAATCTCGTAAAATACATTCTCTTACTCCACCACATGGTTAACAGAAACAGAAACTTTCTTTATTCAATATAGATTATAAATAATACTTAAAATTATTAAAGTCACTCTTTTGTTTAATTACCACTGGTTCGAAAAAAATCTCTGTCCTGGGAAGAACCAGCAAGAAACCCAGCGAGACTTTTTTTTAAATAATAGCTTACAATCATGTGTGTTACACAATTAACCACACAAAACAAATTAGAAATAGCTTGGTAGCACTCACCTCATTCCCAAGGGTTATTATCATCCATAAATTCCTTAATATCATAATAATCCTTTTTATACAAAGTTTTTGAACTTTGAGCAGGTTAAATTTTGTATATTTTCTGGGATTTTGTTGTAAAAACCTATACATCGCCCCAAGAATGAATTACTTACTCGGTGTAGTCGAGTAACTGGTACTACTAGCTTGTGTCTATTACTAGTATTTACAGAATAAATATCACTTATTTTTGTATAACTACTTTTATTTTTGTGAACGTACATTACATTTTCGTAAATATATTGAGAGGCCAAAGATAATATATTAATTTCCTTAAATTTTTGTCGCAGCCCTTTCCTGTAAAACAAGTATAATTTCAGTGTCAATCGCGTGTCCCCATAACAAAATACCATACGACATTATGCTATGGAAATAGCCAAAGTAAACAAGTCTAGCTGTTTCCACACTTGTAAGATTTCTAATCTTTTTTAGAGCATATGCTGCAGAACTTAGCCTGCTTGCTAATTTTGATATATGGGGGCTTCATTCAAGCTTCGCGCCTAGTGTTATTTCAAGAAAAATGGTGGTGGTATCGACAAGACTCAGTTCCTCCCCATTTAAAATTACATTAGTATTTAATTGTTTGACATTTGGAGTCATTAATTTCATACATTTAGTTTTAGTGCCATTTAAATGCAATTTATTAACGTTAAATCAATTTACTAATTTAGATATGGCATTATTTACTTCGTCATATTTTAGTAATGGTCATTTTAATTTGAAAATTGAAGAAGTATCAGCAGCAAATAATACTATATCATGGTTATCCCATACTATGTAAGGTATACAAAAAACAGAAAGGGGCCGAGAATTGAGCCTTGAGCCACGCCCATTTGTACTATCGAGCCGGAAGAGTTCATACTATTAATGACAACTTTTTGCGTTCTGTTACTTAAATATGAAACAATTAATTTAAGAGCATTACTTCTTACACCGTACTGTTGAAGTTTCCTGATTAATGTTTCATGGTGAACACAATCGAAGGCCTTGGATAGGTCACAAAATATACCCAAAGCACCCTGTGAATTCTTCCATGCATTGACAATATATTTAATCAGCTCAACACCAGCATCAGTTGTCGAGCGACCCCTTGTGAAACCGAATTGATTTTTATGAAGTAAACTATTTACATAAAAAAATTAACATTTGATCAAGAATAATTTTATAAATTACCTTGAAATTGGTCTAAAATTGGCGGGGTCTAATGTACTACCAGATTTAAATAAAGGTGTTACTTTACTATGCTTCATTAAATCAGTAAACATACCATATTCAAGCTAGATGAGGCGCGATTGTATCTATTATAGAAACTTAGCTTTTAACTTAACTTAACGGAAACCCCCCACAGATCTGCAGTTTTCTTAATATCTATACTTTTAAAATATTTTAAAATATATTTTGATGATATTACATTATGTTACATTTATCTCTACATATTACAACAGATTTATTCTGTTTATTAAGCTTAACAAAAATTGCGTCCACAATTTTTTCAAAAAATATTCAACATGGGGGTCTGTAGACGCTCACAACAATGAGGTGCTCAAACTCAACACATGCCATTTCTACAGTTAAGTGTATTATTCAAGTGTCAATAATGCTAATGAGGAGATGATTAACAGACGGATGCTGAGATCCTGTGCGAAGACACCGTGAACCCTCCTTCATGTCCATCGGAGAGCCTGGGTTCCTTGGCCGCAAGTCTGGAGGACCAGTACGAGACAGCGTTGGCTGGAATGACCTGGGCCGAGCGGGTCGATACACTGGTAGTGCTTGAGGCGCTTGTGGCTAGAGATCCTGGTTAGTATGTATTGCAAACAGTAACAACTTTAACACTGTCGTGGTTATAAAACAAATTGTTAGAATTGAGATCCGCAGTAAAAAAACCTCAAACTTTTTTTTATAAAAAATATTTATAATAATAATGTCCTCCAGACCGAAATTCAATCACGGCGGCCAGTCTCAACTGAGACCAGCCATCTGCCGGACAGGATGATAGTGGCCGAGTGTATGTGCAAGCACAGGTGCACTCTCTATTCCCTCACTCTCATAGTCCGATGGGACGGTAATTCGGACCGGAGAGAGAACCGGAGGGGACCAGCGGCTTTACGTGCTTCCTGAGGCACGGGGGTGAGACACCGCCGACTTCTTGACTCTAGACTGCTACTGATAATTTCTTAACTGAAAAAAGCAACTGATTTTATCACGATCCGGGATTTGAATTAAGAGGACTAACGAGGCAGTCATAAAAAGATAATACTACTAGTATTAACATTATTTATTTATTGAACACGCACACACTTTAAATAAAATCCTTTTCTTTATACGATAGGGTGACAAACGAGCACACAGTCCCCCTGATGGTAAGTGGTTGCTGCGACCCACAGACATCCACATCTATCCTCAATAAAGAATCAAAATGCAGATGCGTTGTCAACCCGTGAGGACTAAGATGGAATGTCTCTTTTCCAGTAAAAAGGGTCTCTGGTTCTCTACACTCACAATACGAAGCAACAGCATAGAGCAGCTATTTTACGCCGGTATTCTGTGAGAGCGTGGTCTATTACGGGTCTAGCCGAGCCATTAAGTGGACTATAACTTCGTTTGTTACCTCAGTATTATAACAAGAGGTAATTTTTTTTTTGTAGAATTGACTTCAATATAAATAAAATGAGAACATCATCAATGTAGTCGCAGTGAACTAAATACGCATTATTAAGGTTAACTCAGAAACTACGGGTCAGATCATGATTAATTTTATATGGGATCACATGAGATGCATCGGCTTTGAAATGAAAAAAGAATCATCAAAATCGGTTCACCTAGAAAAAAGTTCAGAGGTAACACACCTTAAAAAAACCAGTCGAAATGAGAAACTCTTCCTTTTTTTGAAGTTGGTTGAAAAAATAAACTAATTTCTCTATTAATCTCTGAAAGTAAACTTAAGATTCTTGTGTAAGGTGTGATGCACAGTCTTAACCATTAGGCTGATATCATAGTTATCAAAGTTTAAGATAAAAGCAATCTAACTGTTTCTTTCTTCTGCTAGATAAAGGCTTGATCTCATTTCTTAGAGTTGGTTTGTCTAAGGTCTGAATTCCTCGTACGCGTACGTGGATCATACGATGTACATTGTGTTCCACATAGTCCCGCACTAGGACGCTGACGAGCGAAAGCGACGCGCCGCGTACGTCGCGCGTCAGTCGCCGGCCGAGCGTGGAGCAGTGCGAACGTACTCACTTTATTACCGACGATCCACGCGTGCACGTACAGTTGCCATGAATATCGATATAGAACGTCTTATTTATCTAATGATTTGTATAAAGATGCGACAGCAAAATACTGGCTACAAGTTTTCAAAGCTTTATTTCCGGATTACAATAATGTGGATGCTAGTAAAAAAAGAGATCGATAAGTAAATGGCAATGTTAATATAATTATTAACATTGTATTTGACTTACCCATCTCCTCTCCGAAATCTACTTAGCAGGCGACTGTACCGTATAGAGCTCGGTATCGCATTATGGTATTTTATTTCTCGCTGACGTACGCGACCGACCGTACGCAACCGACGTGAACGTAGGAGGAATTCAGGCCTAAGAAATGAGATAAAGCTAGCTACTAGCAGACTGGCGGACGGTAGGTGCCCTTTGAAATATTTTTTTTATTACCGAGATGGCAAGGTCAATGACATTATGATCGATAATTGCAGGACGAGCCCAGCAGCTGCACGCTAAACTCTCCCAAGGTATCAAACGCCGTGGAAGTCTTCAGGATGCTTTGCGAAGGTATCGTAATTAAGACTGTGTTGGTCTTTGGACTTGCCTCAATGGACATTTGTCATGGTGTTCCCGCTTGTTATTATTAAGAAAATTAATAGAATCAGGCGTTACTTTGCGGAAGTTCATTATATTAAAGTTGGTAAAAAATTACTTCGCATACATCCGCTCGATAAAATAAAATGATGTGTCCTGCCTAGTGTGAAGAGCACCTCCCGCCCTCCCTCAATTGCGTGCACTATCCCCGTCACCAATACACTAGGAAAGACACAAAATTAAGTCAGTCACCGTAGAGTCTACTTCACCTAAAGATGCCTCGTGTAGAGGCGAAACACGTGTCGTATTGTCGTCAGTGGTGTGTCTTTCCTAGTGTATCCGTATGTTTCAGGATGTATGCGAAGTAATTTTTACCAACTTTAATATGATTAGGAAGACACTGTTACCCATCTGGATTGTTCCCTCTGTCGCCTCCTATGACACACACGGGATACATAATACTCGAAGTTGTGATGTGTTAGACGGTGTTTGATGATTAATTACATTTTTATACCAATACGAAGCTGCTGCTCGAACTATATTATTATCTTTAACTATATTATATAAACTTTATATCCTTAGAGCTTTATGGTTAGCTCATTACCACTACAGTCTACAGATCTCTTGGGCAATTTTATATATATATATACTCTGTTCTTCTGGGGATGTTCTTAATACAGAATTGATGATAATATTCTGTTATGAATATTTTTTATAGGATAGGGTGACAAATGAGCACACAGTCCACCTTATGGTAAGTAGTTGCTGTGACCCATAGACATCTACATTTGTCCTCACTAAAGAATCAAAATGCAGATAGATGCGTCGTCACCCGTGAGGACTAAGATGAAATACCTCTTTTCCACTAAAATGGGTCTCTGTTTCTCTACACTAACCACACGAAACACAGCAGTGTCAAGCTGCCATTTTACGCTGGTGTTATGTGAGAGCGTGGTCCTTCCCCGGTTGAGCCGACCCATTCATGCCACAACTATACTACTAATATAGCTGCAGCATGGCTCTACCACGTATGAATATCAAATATGTAACAAATATAATGTCAATCGTGAGTGATTCGTTCATTTGACCCGAGTCGCATCAAAGTATTGATGATTGTAATTACATTTTTTAACGTTTCGGATCATACGATTGACAGGACCTACAACCAACGAGTATAGTAATGTTCGATGACCGACTTTATCGAGCGGGTCTCACACACGGAGCAATTACAAAAAGGAGGTGTTGTAATTAGCTTTCACTATGTAACAGTGGTAGAGCCACGCGGCAGCTTTTGCTGTCGCACGGATGGGCCGGCTCGAACCGGGGTGGTACCACGACCTCACAGAAAACCGGCGTGAAGTAGCGGTTTACCTCTGCGTTTCGCTTAGTGAGTGCAGGTGGCCGGAGGCCCTTTTTACTGGATATGAGGCATTCCATCTTAGTCCTCACGGGTGACAACGCATCTACATTTTGATTTCTAATAGAGGATAGATGTAGATGTCTATGGGCCGCAGCAACCACTTACCATCAGGTGGACTGTGTGCTCGTTTGTCACCCTTATCCTATACGCGTGACAATTTGCGGGGTGAGGGATATTACGCCCCGCCCACTTAACTGTTTTCCATCTACCGATAAATAGTAAAACTACTCGCATGGTTTCATATCGATGTTGCAATGTAGTTTAGCTATCTTAGCGACAGATGGCGGCCTGTTCACTAAATGATTATAAAAACTATAAAAATAATATTTTGGCGATTAAAAACTCTTTAGGACTGAATGCAAAACAAATTTCAGGACATTCGTATGATTATTTTACCAATACTGAGATCTACGTACCTTTATATTTGTAGTTCCCATGACACAAAGTGTCGCCATCTGATATATTTAAAAGCCGACGCAGAGATTTTTCTCGAACTATTTTAATAAATGAGGTACAAAATTACTTACAAATTAAATATGATGCTATAGCATCAGAGCAGCAGTCTATCTGAGTAGTTTTTACACGATAAAACACAACACTTCATGCTTTTCTTCTTAATTCTACGAAAATACACCGATTTGCGACTTTCGACACGTAAGCGCACAGGACGAACGATGACAGTGTACTAACTAAAGCCACGCCCATCGTGATGGCATAGGGTCAGAATCACAGTGTACAGTTGCTTAGGCCGTCTCCTCTTTGTATTTGCTCCGTGGTCTCACAGATCACAAAGTACTGAAACTCGAAATGGTCTATTTGAATGATCGACCCGAAGGAACGAATGGCACACATGTCTAATATGTAATTTATTTTTTTAAATTTTTTTCAATAATTCGACATTATTTCAGGCTCCAAGCTAAGCAAGCCCGTGCAGAACGACAGAGAATGGAGTATCAAACGGAGAGGGCAAAGAAGATACATCAGCTGCTGGCAAGAGTTGAGGAAGTCAAGGTCAATATAAAATACGGTTTAAAAACCCAGGCAAATACACCCTCGGCTGGTCTCCAATCCTTTGTTGTGCACATACAACGCATTTGAACGGTTCGATAAGAACTACTACAGCAAAAGAATGGAATAATTGAGCTGCTGCCGCGGGTTCGAATCCCGCACGGAACATGTATTTGTACGGCTTACAAGTGATTGTTCCGGGTCTGAATGTTGTCCTTGTGCAAATGTATGCAAACTGCCTCCACGATACAGGAGAATATCCTAGTGTGGGAGTAACGTTTTTAAAACCAAAAAAAAGAGAAAAAACAGGCTTTCGTTATAATAAGGTAGTGCGCTTCACCATCTTTGGCTGCATCACCAATTACCATCAGGTGAGATTGCAGTCACACTGAATTTTAATGGTTAAAACAATATATTTAATTTAATTCTTTTTTGCATTTTTATTAGTTATTAAACATCGATCACTAATAAAAAACTAGATACACAATCCCATGCAAAAGTTCTCTAAAAACTGTCGCCAATTGTGTTGACGTAATTCTTGTTGAAATAAATATACATTAATGTAAATTCAACCTTAAATGCATTGCGAAATTTGTATTCACAAAGATAGTGACAAATTAAAAGCGCACCCAAATGTTCGAGTGGGCGCTCATTTAGTAAGGAGATTTTTTGTCACTGATTGTGCATCTAGTTTTTATTAGTGATCGATGTTATTAAATAGTTGATAATTAAAAAAAGATACATAACGACAAATATACCGTGTGGTGACGGTGTAAGAATATCCACTACCCCATATCCTCCCGTGGGTGCCGTAAGAGGCGACAGAGGGAAACTGAAACAGGAGATGGGCAGCAGCGTCTTCGTAATAATAACTCAAAACAGTAAAAAAAACTGCGGTTGCATATCCGCCTACCAAGCGAGACAACTATGGCAAAATCCCCCTATGAGGCAATCTATGGGGAGGCTGATGTTCAGCAGTGGACTTTTATAGGCTGTAATGGATAGATGTATAGAAGATAATCTACCAGGAGCACATGACCCGCTGAGAGGTGAAATTGTTAAATCAACGGTAACATTACAACTATTGCAAAATCCCCCTATGAGGCAATCTATGGGGGATGCCTATGTTCAGTAGTGGACAATATAGGCTGTAATGGATGGATGGATGGACGCACCTAAAGACAAATGGTGCCTAAACTTACTATAATTTAATAACAATTTATTACGTGGTAGAGCCAAGAAGAAAACCGGACCACTTTTTACTGGAAACTAGGCATTTCATCTTAGTGCTCAAGGCTGACAACGCATCTGCATTTTGATTCGCAAACAAGGAGAGATGTAGTCTATGGGCCTCAGCAACCACTTACCATCAGGTGGACTGTGTGCTCGTTTGTCACCCTATTTCTATAAAAAAAAAGAGATATAGTAGTAGTAGTTAAAGATATATAAGTATGTAGTTTTAAACGCCTAAGAAAAAGGCCAGAAAGTTCTCATGGACTCTGCGATATAACGCGGTATATCATTCCATATATACCAGATGTAAAATCCTTAGCCCGGCGATGGGGAACAGCGATAAAGGTGCTGACATCTAGCTCATCTATCACCAATAATAGTAATCTTACGTTCACCAGATGTCGCTAGTTGGGACTGAGGTGGAGTTTTTGTTATACAACGTCAGTTAATTGAGAAGTTAGTTTTAAATAAAAGTTTATTTACTAAATAGTTTGCTTTTTAATTTTTCTCTTTTTATGTACGTAAAAATGATATATTATCACAAGAAAAAAAATTAATTGTGCGTTTCACACTAGATTATAATTGATTATACAGGGTTATGTTGCAATAACCGGCCAAATTCGCAGAGAAGGTACAGAATAAGTAATATAGTTAAATGGTGAAGAAAAATGAATTAAAAAAAATCTCAAACATTCCGTCCTCTTTATCTGTGATTTTACTGCGCACGCACACATTCGTAAGGGTCGATCGGTAGGCAAAAACGTTATTGCCCATAAATCACATTCAATTTGGGATAGTTTCAAATAAAAGTAGAAGGCTTATTTACTCGTATTTTCAAAAACTGTAATAACGGTAAATCATTATTAAGTGGCGAAGCTTGCGAAGTCACTTATTGATTTCACGATGTCTGTCCGTCTGTCCGTCTGTGCCACGATTATCTCGAGAACGGTTTTGAATTTTCAAATTCTGTTTTCAGCAATCGATTACTGATCACCCAGGCATCTGAACCTCCTATTTTGAAACTGATTGCTCAACGGCAACCGATAGAAACCGCTACAAAGCTGATTGCTTCGCCACTTTGCTATGCTGTTAGCTTGCTAGGTTTATTTATATATTTGAACTTTAGTTTAAAATTTGGCTACTCTCCGAAAAATAACCCTGTATATACTTATAAGCCGTCTAAATAGTTACATTAAAACTACATTCCCTATACTAAAGATTAAAGATTTTTAAAATTAATTAGCCGATATCCGCAATTTATTACGCGATCTTTAATGCTATAATATTAATGAATAAAAACTACTTAATATTACTTATTAATAAATTACATACTTGCTCATTGATGCAACCTGATGACGATGATTATATCTGGTTAAAAAGACTTTCAATTTCATATTACAGGTGGCAAAAAATCAACTGATAGAAGAGAAGAGATTGAGAATGGAGAGGCGTCTCCAGAAGGCGGCTGAAAACCGAGATCAGTATTTGAAAGTAAGAAATTAGAACGGCTAACAATCGTTATGCATTCAAGAAGAAAGTTCGGGAACATTATTTGAATAAACCGACAGAATCATCTCATTAGTAGCTCATTTATATTTATCGATATATATGAGATTTTCACCTATGTACTGACTTATCACGATTTCTGTGGAACCATAACACCAAGGGACTTGAAATTTGGTGGGAATATTCCTTTCGCCGAGTAGAGGTCAGCTAAAAACGGATTTTACGAAATTCCACCCGTAAGAGAGGGGTTGTGGGGATGTTAATTAAAAAAATCACATTTTCAAACTATAGCTCTTATAGGTATAAAACACGGCCAGAATATTCTTTTTGTATGTGTTTGAATGGGTCCCTAAATGGTGTGAATTCACAATTAGAGCCGGTAGATAGCAGTGTTGTCGATATCCAGAAATCACCCGTGCGAAGTCGAGGCGTATCGAATATAGGATATTTTTGCATAAATAGTTAATCAGCATTGGTCGCGGGACGTTGTCATTTATCCTATATTATATTCGAAATATCTTTTTATATATCTCGGAAATTACAATAGGAGGTCCCACTTCGGATCTCGGAAATTCAGCTAAGGATCCCAATTTTGATTTCGGAAATACATCAGGATAGCGTAATTATTATCATTAATAAGACAGCGTAATGCCCTATCCATTCAGTATACAGAAATTGCAGTTCGACCACACCGTAACACGTCTCCGCCACAATCACACACCAGTGCAACGTGAGGTACGTAATTACATGATAACACCAAAGTATGCAAACCAACAGCAACACTACTTATCTCAATGTAATACAGGGCAGCCTCTAAGCAACACCATCCTCCTTGCCTGCTCTAGAAGAATTACTACAACGAACAGAACTACGACACTATCTTAGCACTCTCGAATGACTTAAGCGGAATCACTCGCACGGCGCCCACAGTGACGCAGATTCAACATATATATATTATCAGTCTTTCGCATTACTTTGGGCCTATTTTCCTCAAAAATCGAGATTGACAGTGTAATCTGGTGAGAAAAAGTAAAGTAAAACAGTCCGAATTGTATGGCTGTAATATAAAAAACAGAATATTTTTTTATTTAATATAGATTACAAGTAATTCAAGTAATTTTTTTCTTTTATCACTGGTTCGAAAAAAGCCTCCGGGACCCACCCAGCTGGACTTTTTTTTTCAAAGTAAATCATACAATAAGAACATTGGTTGTACAAACTATTTAAGAAACGGCTTGAAAGCGACCACCTCTTCACGCGCAGGGGTGGAATTAGGGTGACAAACGGGCACACAAACCACTTGATTGTGAATGTTGTGGCCCATAGACATCTACTTATATCCTCAATAAAGAATGACAAGGCAAAGTAAACAAAATGCAAATGCGTGTCGCCCCTGAAGACTAAGATGGAATGCCTCGTTTCCAATAAAAAGGGTCGCCGGTTCTCTACATAAATTCGAAACAATAACATATTTAAACTTTGTTATAGTGAAGACTTTATATATTTTTTGGGACTTGAATGAATGAATTACCTGACTTTTTTTATAGGATAAGGGTGACAAACGAGCACACAGCCCGCCTGATGGTAAGTGGTTGCTGTGGCCCATAGACGAATAAAATGCAGAATCGTTGTCACGCGTGAGGACTAAGATGAAATGCCTCTTTTCCAGTAAAAAGGGTCCTCGATTCTATACACTCACCGAACGAAACACAACAGCATTAAGCTGCTATTTTACGTTGGTATTCTGTGAGAACGTGGTCCTTCCCCGGTCGAGCCGACCCATTCGTGCTACAACTATACTATTAATATAGCAGTAGCATGGCTTTACCACGTACTCTGTGGAGTCGAGAAACTGGTATAGTTTGCTTGATATTTGCCACAGTTGCCACTTTCAGCAGACGAATTGGCTATTGCAGTTTTTTTATTAACTTGAACTATTATCAGGAACCGTGTGGTGGCGGTGTAAGAATATCCACTACCCCATATCATCGCGTGGGAGTCGTAAGAGGCGACAGAGGGAAACAATCTATCTAAGAGATAGGCAGCAGCGTCTTCGTAAATTATTACGAACTAAAAATAAGAAACCTGTGGTTGCCAGCCCGCTTGCTAAGCGTCTCAAATATGACTTTTATAGGCTGTACCAGTAACGGTTATCAGGAAGATGCTGCTGCCAATAACCTGTTTCATCACTCTTTCATCTCTTACGACACCCTTTTTTTACGTGCTAGAGCCATGCAGCAGCTATATTATGGTTGTAGCACGAATGGGTCGGCTCGACCGGGTAAAGACCACGCTCTCACAGGATACCAGCGTAAAATAGCAGCTTGACGTGCTGTGTTTTGTATGGTGAGTGTAGAAAACCGGATATTTTTTACTGGAAACAAGGCATTCCTTCTTAGTCATGACGGGTGACAACGCATCTGCATTTTAATTCTTAATTGAGGATAAATGTAGATATCTATGGACCACAGTATCAACTTCCCATCAGGTGGACTGTGTTCGCCCGTCACCCTTATTTTATAAAAAAAACATCCACGGAATTATTTAGGGTATTTATGAATATATTATTTAGGTAGATTCGCCACTACACGGTAACCTTCTATCTTACAGGATATCGTGAAGAAAGCCCACGATGAAGACGAGAAGCTGAGGGAGATCGCGTTCATAACGCAGCTGCAAGCGCAGAACAGGAGGCACGATTTCTTGGCACAGTGCCGATACCACACCACTAGGCTGAGACAGATGCGACGAGATCGACTCCAGAAGCTGGTGAGTGGAAAGAACCTTTTCTCGGGAGTTTTCTTATACAACAAGTAGTACAATTAAAAATTTTGTCCAATACTATATATTCAAAACTATAAATAAAATGAGAGCATCATTAATGTAGTCGAAGTCAATGAGGCTTAATAATTTTCTGTTCACTAGATGTGGCTAGTTGACACCGCGGTAAAGTTTTTTGATACACGATGTAATTTAAATGAGAAGTTGTTTTTTTTAATAAAAGTTATCAGTTTTTAGGGTATTATACGAGTATTATTACACAAAAAATGCGTCAGTGCATTGCTCTTTAATTTTTTGCACATTTTTAACTCTTTTATATTATTCTACTTTTATGAAAAATCGGACGTCATGCAGCGATGGAGCGAATTTTATAGAGAAATGTATGCGTGTGATGATCTTAGTGAGGGATCCGGGGATGACGCCGTGACTGGTACGCCAGACCCGGACCTCGATGACACTGAGGTCATCAGGATGAAAGAGATTGAACGTGCGATTCGAAGTTTGAAATGTGGTAAGGCTGCGGGACTAGACAGAGTTACTGCTGAAATGGTCAAGTATGGTGGGCCTCGCGTCTGGGACAGCTTTCATCTGCGGTGCAATTTGTGCTGGCGGACGGGGGATGTCCCGGATGATTGGCGATCCGCAGTCATTGTGCCTTTATATAAAGGTAAAGGTTCACATTTTGACTGCGGGTGCTATCGGGCGATCAGCTTGACCAGTTTAGCAAGTAAAGTTTACTCGAAGGTTTTGACACGTAGGATGCAAGAGAAATCGGAAAGATTTCTATGGGAGGCACAATGCGGATTTAGACCTGGAAGAGGATGCACGGATCAAATGTTTTCTCTCCGCATGATCACGGAGAAGCTTCTGGCTGCTAACCAGAAGATTTTCTGTGCTTTTGTGGATCTTGAGAAAGCATTTGATAAGGTTGTAAGGAAGAAAATGTGGGAACTGTTGCCGGGGTATGGTATGGATGGTCGATTGCTAAGGACTGTGCAGTCTCTTTACTGTGGCTGTAAAGCCTGTGTGCGGGTAGGGCATGACCTATCACCCATGTTTAACGTCCAAACGGGCGTAAAGCAGAGTTGTGTCATGTCTTCCTGGCTGTTCATACTGTATCTCGACAGCTGTTTACAGAAGCTAAAAGATAGTTGTTTGGGTGTGAAATTGGGTGACATTAAAGTAAATTGTCTGCTGTATGCTGATGATGCAGTGCTTATTGCACCATCAGAGGCAGAACTGCAGGCATTAGTCACGTGTATGAAAGAGGAATGTGAAATTAAAGGTCTCCGTTTGAATGCTAATAAAACTAAGGTTCTGGTATTTGAAAGGGACGAAGAGAGAACGAAGTGTGAAATATGGGTAAATCAGGAATGTCTAGAAAAGGTAAATGAAATTGTATACTTGGGGAGTGCTTTTAGCCGGGATGGAAGATGTGATTTAGATGTGGACAGGCGTGTCGCTGCCGGGAACAAAGTCAATGGTGCCCTGACTGCGTTAGTCAAAAGGCAAGGCGTAGCGAAGAGTGCACGCCTTGCAATACATAACGCAGTGTTGGTACCGACTTTGTTATATGGCAGCGAAACCTGGGTATGCCAGAAGAAGCATAAAAGTAAGTTGAATGCAGTGGAGATGCGATCTCTTCGTAAAATGTGCGGCGTTACCATGGCCGACCGAAAGCGAAACGAAGAGATTCGCAATATGGCAGTTTGAAAGATGACCTTATCACAAAAATTGATAAGGGCGTGCTTCGGTGGTTTGGGCACGTTGAGCGAATGAGTGAAGACCGAATGGTGAAGAAAATATATAGCGCGAAAGTTAATATTAAAAGGTGTCAAGGTAGACCGAGACTAACTTTCGAAGACCATGTGAGCAAATTGCTCGAAGAGGGTAGGGTCAAAAGTACTCGGATACCTAGACGTGCATGCATGAAGAAGATAATGAATCTGAAAGAAGCGAAAGATGTTTGTAAGGATCGTGACACTTGGCGATCTGTTCTCTCTGGCTACCCCGTCAGGGATTGTGCGTGAAGATAAGTAAGTAAGTAAAATGAATATCTGTGGTTTGGTTTATCTATTTCTTATTAATATAAAATATAGCTAATAGTACAGAAAGAGACCTTTACATTTTCCGAACAGATTAACTTCCCCGCTATGAAATCTGTCAAATATTATACCTCACTTTCTAGTAGCGCCGCCCTGGTGGCAGAAAAAGTCGTGGATGCCCTCATTAAATACGCATTATTAAGGATAACTCAAAAACTATTGGTCATATCTTGATGAAATTTATATGGGACCACATGAGAAGTATCAGCTTACAAATAAAAGAGTACCGTCAAAATCTGTTCACCTAGAAAAAAGTTCTGAGGTAGCACACACACAAAAAGTCGAATTGAGAAACTTCTCCTTTTTTTGAAGTCGGTTTAAAAGATAACAAATACATAGACATCTACATGTATCTTCGATTAAGAATCAAAATGCAGATGCGTTGTCACTCATGAGGATTAAGATGGACTGGAATAGAATAGAATAATTTTTGGAGTGAAACCTTTTTTACAACCGTTGTGATTTGAAATCGAATGAAACGAAATAGCGACACTAAAAAGAGACAAACATATTATACATCTACAGCAGGGTTTCCCAACCTTTTTTGACCAGAAACCACTTTGATTTTTTTTTAGTAAGCAGGGACCACAAGGTGAAAGAAAAACTGTTTTAATCTAACAATAAATTATAATCACAACTTTTGAATAGAAGAATCATTCATTAACAGTATTATTTGCGTAATTATTGTAATAGCTAGTAGGTGCTCACTAACGTGCCGCACGGTGTTGCACTGCCCGCGTGACGAGAAAATAACTAAAACGATTTGGTAGGTTATTTTTTTTAAATATTTCGCGGACCATCTTTAATGTCTTGCGGACCAATGGTAGTCCGCTGACCACTGGTTGGGAACTACTGATCTATAGGATTTAGCCTGCGAGGGAATGAGACAGATTACAGTATACAGTGTTTATTATAAATTCATTTATATTTTTTATTTACATAAACCTTACAATTATGTTACACCTGACACTGCATTTGTCTCATTCTCTCGAAGTTTAGTATTCTGAAGGTTTCACTTCTGCCGCGTGTTAGGCTCGGGTAAAAAATATCTGTTACGGCCTACGGCTGCTCCCATAAAGGTTCAATCCTCCGGGGCCCATCAACGGAGTTTCAACGAACAGACGTAGGTCGGGCTTCCTAAGGCCAAAGTGGAAAATCTCTAATTACAATAAACAATAAGGGGGAGCGTTCTATACTACTGCCTGCTACTACTACTTCGTCACGATGACAGTCCATTAACTCTATCGTACGATTAACTAACTTACAGAAGCCAATAACTCTCGTTTGTTATAAAGCTTAACACATAAAACGAACACGGAGTGTCCGGATCAAAGGTCACTACCGTTTCGCGTGGCAACAGTTATTTCTAGGATATCAAAGGCCGCACTAGCTAATATTGTCGAATGCACTTATACAGATTCTGAGTCGGACACAATAAGTCCCGGGAAAGGCTATCCAACAAGGAATGCGCGTTATAAATCCTAGACAGTATATTTACTAGACGCCTAAACTATTCCGCGTTTTCCGCACAAAAATTGACAGCGTGCTGACGTTAGCACAGCTGGCAGACGACTCCTATTTGACGCCGCGCGTTCTACGCACGACCGAACGTCAAACCGGTATCGCCGAGCCGCGCCCTCTGACGTCAATCCCGAAGTTAGCGTTCGGGCGTAAACAATATCGATATTTTATCACAAAATTAATATCGATATTCGATAGGCTACCATGCCAGAAATAATCGAATAAGTTGAAATTTTTTTATTGGAAGATGCCTGGCTAAAGAAAAAACAGCTTGCAGCATTAGTTGGAGTATCAGAAACAACCATTTTAAAAATCCTATATCAACCTTGGCATGACTGCAGTCTGTGCAAGATGGGTTCCGGGAATGCTTTCTGCGCATCAAAAACACGAGTGCGTCTAAAGTTGTCGGGAGTTTTTGAACCGCTGTGGAGAGCAAAGGGAGGAAGTTATGGCCCGAATTGTATGAACTGGCGATGAAACTTAGGTTCACCATTATGAACCTGAGTCAAAGCAAGAGTCGATCCAGTGGCATATAAAAGGCGCACCCCCTTCTAAGAACTATGAGGTGATTCAATAGGCCGGAAAGATCATGGCGACGATCTTTTGGGATACAGAAGGTATCTTTTTGATTGATTATAAGGAACGTGGTGTTTCCATAACGGGAGAATACTACGCTTCTCTACAAGATCAATTAAAAGAAACTATTAAAGGAAAAAAGAGGCGAGGAAACCTTACAAAAGGCGTGCTCCTTTTGCACGAGAATGCGCCTGTACACAAGCCATGTTGCGACGGCTGCCATTCACTGGTACGGTTTTGAACAACTGCGCTACTCACCCTACATCGCAGACCTGGCCCCAAACGACTATTATTTGTTTCCAAAAATAAAGAAAGATCTTCGTGGGAAATATTTGGCGACGATGTTGAAGTGAAGTCGGCAATTTCGGCCCATTTTGACGCCCTAGACAAATCATTTTTTTAGACAGTTATTTGACAGATCTAATAAATGTATTAGGGTTAACGGGGAATACATTGAAAAGGAAAAATAGTTTCATGTTTCATTTCATTATCCTTCCCTGTCATTTCGCGAATTTTTGACCTCCTCTCGTTGATACATGTAATTCTTATTGAGTCATTTTTTACTTTTACCACTGCTTCGGGAAATACCTCCGTCCTGGGAAGAATTTTTCTCCAAGGGATTCCTTCGGACCTAGTTTATAAATTGCTCGTATGGCTCTCTTCTGCAAAACAAACACAGTTTCATTGTCTTCGCATTACCCCAATAGCAAGATTCCATATGACATTATGCTATGGAAATAACTAAATAAACTAATCTAGCTGTTTCAACACATGTAAGGCTCTAATATTTTTTACAGTATATTATGCTGCAGAAATAAAATTGAAGTGTCTGTTTGTAATGTCAAAATTACGGCTTTTTACTAAATGCATATGAAAGAATACACGATACTTATAACAAAAACATAATTTTTAAAATTTTTGTCTGTCTGTCTATCTGTCTGTTTGTTCCGGCTAATCTCTGAAACGGCTGAACCGATTTTGACGGGACTTTCACTGGCAGATAGCCGATGTCATAAGGAGTAACTTAGGCTACTTTTATTTTAGAAAAACAATTAGAGTTCCGCGCAATAAAATTAAAACCCCAAATAACACGCGGGCGAAGTCGCGAGGAACATCTAGTTTAGATATATGAGGGCCCCATTGAAGCTTCGTGTCAATTGTGATTCCGAGAAAGACAGGCTCAGCTCCTCCCCATTTAAAGTACATGAAGCGGTGAAGGAAAACATCGTGAGGAAACCTGCATAACTGAGAAATAAAAAAATTAATATATTTCCAAGACATGTGAAGGTCGCCAAAATGCATTGGTGCAGCGCGGCGGACACTTCCTTACCTTAAAACCCTCTGAGAAGTGAGATAAGGCCTCAGAAGTGACAGGAGGCCTGTGCCCAACTTCGGGACGTATAGTATAGGCTGTAACTTTACTTTTTAGTTTACTTTTAGTTCAGATTACAAGAATAGTTGTCTTGAAAGTCATTTATGCTTTGACAACTGGTTCCGAAAAAAATCTGTCTTCGAAAGCACCAAGAAAACCTGCGGGATCTTTCTTTTAAACAATAATTTTCAATATAATTTTCTCATTTGATTGTAATGTTGTACAATAAAATGTGGAAACATTTAGAAAGAGACGGTAGCGGTCACAGTTCGTTTGCGCCTCTGCTATAAATAAAACCTAATTGCTAGGGGTTATTATTAAATATATATTCTTTAGTAGTATACCCTTATTGGACAATTTGTCGTTACCATCAAAAAGGGGTCTTTGGTATATAGAACATGAAACAAAAACCCTGTGGTTCCCGTTAAGTACGTTATCAGGATCAGTATTCAAACTTATAGAAATGACTTTTTTTTAAAAATCGACCATATTTTTTTTTAATTTTATTAAAAAAAAATTAAAAATGTTATGTGGTTTTATTACCTCTTACTGACACTAGCCGATGCTAAAGCTAAGTAAAGCGAGGTCTTTGACAATCCTCTTACTCCCCAGACAATGCAGAGGTAATAAAACCACATACAATTTGCATACAATTATTTTTGTAATAAAATAAAAAAAATATTGTTCCAGTTTAAAAAAAAAAGTTATTTCTATACGTTTGAATAATGATCCTGATAACGTACTTAACGGGAACCACAGGGTTTTTGTTACATATTGTATAACTTATGGCCAAACTCGGCAGATATTGAGTATTGACAGTGTAGCTATTTTCAATTTAAGTATTTTGTAAGAGTTGTTACAACAAATATTTTATGAGAAGTAATGACGTCACGGTTACTATACATATAATAATAGTTGTAAGTTGTAACTATTTTTTTTTCCTGTCTTACAATACGACACGATAACATTTATTCTCTTGTTACAAACATTTACAAGGTAATTTTATTAAATTTATTAGGTTTTACTTTCAAATTTCCATTATAGATGTTTCGGACACTTGACATTATCAGTATGAACGTGAGCAATTAATGTTTTTATTTTTATTTTAATCTATTCGTAACACATGGTATACATAATATAAATTTTAGTTTTTCCGTTCCTCCATATAAACCTTAAAATGCTAAACCAACGGAATTACGCTTAAAAAGGTGTACGAAGTTTTACCTTCACATATTATAATACAGGATTATGTTTCAAGGAATAGCCACATTTTAAATATAAATTCAAATATAATTAATAATGACATACAGTTATTTCAATTTTTGAAAATACGAGTAAATAAGGCTTCTACTTTTATTTGAAATTATCCGAAATTGAATGTGATTTATGGGCAACAACTACGCGTCCGCGCGCTCCTATATGTGTGATTCAATTCACAACGTTTTTGCCGACCGATCAACCTTTACGAATGTGTGCGTGCGTAGTAAAATAGTAGGCGTTAGAGATGTATGGATGACAATCAGTTAAAATAATGCATTACCACGCATTTTCAATTTAAAAGATAAAAAGTACAGAATGTTTGAGATTTTTTAAATTAACTTTTCTTCACCGTTTGGCTATATTACTTATTCTAAACCTTCTCTGCAAAGAACAATGGCAGAAAAATAGTTGACAAAAATTATTGCGTCTAGAAATAAGTTATAATATATACAATGAGTTTTCTTATTTTCCTATGATTTATCAAATAAAAATGTATTTTAATTAAAGCCACAGAAAAAATAGACAATCATTTTTGTGAATATCAAATGACTTAAATCATTTTACTCTATTCAAGTGTTGCCATTTACTATATTCATACTATTTTCGTATACACTTTGCAAGACTACCAACACAACACACAAACACAAAATATTTTTATATTAAGTTATTATTAGTAATAACTATACTATCAGTAATATAAAAACAAAACTGATATGGTTGAAAATAAGTATCTTACAAAGAACTTCCTACAATAATACATTATCTCAATCATAGTAATATGTAACAATTCCATTTAATATTATGGCAACACTAGCTAAAACAAAATGTCACTGGTTTTACGGCTCTGGGTTCTAGCCCTTCTATCTAAAAACTCAATTATGTAGGTAGGTACACTATGTTGATAATGTATTAAGCTAACATCATACAAACACAGGACGTATGATTTTTTCCAAGTGACATAAGACATAACCTAAAACGTTCAAATCTAAATATCTTTTTTTTTGACGCCTTCTCAGGATAAAATTTTGACAGAGTTATTAAGATTAACATTTTAAGATATTTTGATATATAGACGCTACCATTCATTCTCAACTAATTTTATGTATGAAAGCCTGCCATCGTTCTTTGGCGGGTTATTGCAAAATAACCCGTTATAGTAAGTATATCGTGATGGGGATAGGAGGAGAAGGCTGCACGGGAGGCAGCTGTGGGGGCGCGGCGCCAAGCTCTGGAGGAGGCTCGGCGCAGTCGCGTGGAGTCGCTGCTGCAGAGGCGGCGCCTGCGGGATGAACGGGTGCAGGGGATGCGGGAGCTGCGGCGGCAGGAGCGGGACGATGCCGCCAGGGAGAAGGTGAGATGATGCCGTCTTGTTGGGCCTTAATCATCACGCTTGACACATATAGTGAAGATCTCAAAACGAGACGTCTTGCATCTTTGACACTGTTTCGTGTTATTGGTCTGGGTATTTTACATCTGATGTAAACTAGATGATTATACCACAATATGAAGCCAGAAGGTTTCTTTTATAGGATAAGGGTGACAAACGTGCACACAGTCCACCTGATGGTTGCTGTGACCCATAGACAACTACATCTATCCTCGATTACGAATCAAAATGCAGTTGCGTTGTCACCCCTAAGAACTAAGATGGAATGCCTCGTTTCCAGTAAAAAGGGTCTCCTGTTCTCTACACTCAATATACGAAACACAGCAGCTAAACCACCAAGGAACCCACTTAACACACACAAAAAATTCATCAAAATCGGTCCAACCGTTTAGGACCAGTTCAGTTACAAACACACGACCAGATTTTTTTTTTCATATATATTTATTTATTTAGTACTAATAAATTACTAAATTATAAAATAAAACTACAAAAAACAGTTTTACAATATAGCATAATAATTTACAAATAAAATAAAAAAGTGAAGGTTCAAGAGAGTTTTATCAAGCACTAGCTTGTACCCGGCCCATTGCTCACGATCGTTTTACATTTGGAAGAGTTATACTGTTTAATTAGGAACTATAATACATTCATTGAAGTTGAATGATATATGACTTTCAAATAAATTTGTCAATACCATACGCGCGCCATCCACTGTAAGCTACTATGCCTATAACCTTCGCGCAAGTGCATGCAATGGCTGTATTCCGATAAACACTGACCACTAAAGTGTGACGTCAATTTTGTATACTTTCATCCCCATTTTTCGACACTCTTTTACCAAATGAAATTATTTATCATGTACACGTTTTCTGTTCGACAAGAAAAAATATTATTTGAATGTTATTGCTTTTAAAGCTTCATGTCCGAGTTTATTTGAATAACAATATTAATAATTAACATTAATAATAATAACAATAATTTGTGGAAGCTGCTCAATCTCTAGGCGCTGTTATGTTTTTGATCACGTGATCAAAGTACTGAGAGCACCTTACCTCGAAAGCTCACAGTACAAGAATAGCAGCGATTTATGACGTCATATAATATTTCTCTAGGGTACTGCGGCAATATACTGGCAGTCCATAACAGAACGAATATTTCCCCAGTGAGAGCACTGAGCAGTGCTCGCATTCTATATCTGAGCACACCCAATAAGTTGACAAAGTTTTGGCGTAATCTGATTAACAGTATAACAGCGCATAAAATACGAACAAACACACATACATTTTTATATATTAGATATAACTGCATCAGTGGTCTAGTGATCGATACCCACGGCACGATATAATATTCTTACACCACAACTGTTATTATGAGGTCTCTATTATTATGTATATAAATTTGATATGTGTATAATTAACAAAAAGGTAATATTATATTGGATATTGTTGTGATATTCCAGGCGGAAGGTGTAAAATCCCGTCTGTCAGCACTCGCAGCGGCCGCTGAACTGGAAGTAGACGCCTTGAGATCCCGTATAAGGGACAAACAAGACGCAAGCCAACAGAGATTGGAACTACACCTGCAGGCTGTAAGAGAAAAGGCGACTGGACCGCGACAAGCAGTAAGTACAAATTTCAACTTTATTCTAATTGCATACAGTTCAATTTTGAGGTAACAGCAGGAAGAAAATCGATGAACTCTATTGTCAACTTTATTTTGTTATAAATAAAGTTTATGTTATAACACAAATCAAATAAAGTAATCAATGACTAGAATTGGTTAAAGTTGACAAAAAATTACTTTGCTTACATCCGCTCGATACGCAAAGTAATTTTTTGTCAATATATAGGACTTCCGCAAAGTAACGCCTGATTCTATTAATGACTAGAATTGGATCTACAGAGTGATTCAGAGCGAAGCCCTTGGTGAGTTGGGAGTTGTCCTTATATTTTCAGATAGAATTTTACTAATACTAAAAACGGCAAAAAATTTATTGCAAAAGATATTTATTAAAAAAATATGGCCTATCGTACGTTGGATGTCGTAAGAGACGACAGAGGGACACAAACCAGGAGACGGGTATCAGAGCCTTCCTAAGAAAACCTTAAAATTGCGGTGTCAACCCGCCTGCCAAGCGTGCCAAGTATGGAAAAATCCCCATATGAGGAAATCTGTGGGGGAGGCCTATGTGAGCAGTGAGTTTGATAGGCTGTAAGGATGATGATGATTTTTCTATAGTGCAGGGTGCATATAGGGGTTGATAATTTTCCTCCCTTTAAGGAAATACAATACAATACAATACTATTTATTGTACACCAAGAAAAGTTATAAATATCAAAAAGAAAAAATTAACAACTATTGAGAGGTATACAAAGGGCGGTCTTATTGCTGCATAGCAATCTATTCCAGACAACCCAGAAGAAAAAATAAACAAAAATAAGAAAAAGTACAATGGGTAGGGTGCACTAAAATAAAAAAAAGTAAAAATAAAGATACAAACTTATGCATTACAAAGACAACATTTTTCAGGTAGATCAATGAATAATAAAAGGAAGGGAGAGCGGTTAGAGAGACAAATAGTATTCCTTATTTTTTTTTGTGAATTAAATGATTCTTATAGGTTGTCTCGAAATAATTGATGTGGACCAGACTTAATATTATAAACTATTAATTTGTTTTAGAATTTTTGTTTATTGTAACGTGTGTAGACACAATATTATGATACTTTCGATTTTTATTTCTTTAGTAGTGTTGTAAAACTGGATGGTCAGCATCGTGTACGTCAGTAACTGATTCTCATAATAGATTACTTAAATTTTGTAAAAAAATATTTCATACTAGCGTTCCGCTCCGGCTTTGCACGGGTGATTTCTAGATCCCGACAACAGCGCCACCTACCGGGTCCAACAGAGTTTTAAAACATCCAGGGACCCACTCAAATACACACCAAAAATTCATCAAAATCGATCGAGCCATTTTCGAGTTTTTGCGAGACTAACGGACAGCAGTTTGTTTTGAATATATATTTAAGCATTAACTGTCACACTGTTGATGCTACTTAAATAAATACATGAAATAAGACCGCCTTATGTCTTCTCTCTATGTTTTTTTATTTTGTATACCGACTTCAAAAAGGAGCCGGTACTCAATTCGACTGTGTTTTTTATGTGTTTTACCTCATAACTTCTTACTAGGTGAACCGATTTAGATGATTCTTTTTTATTTGAAAGCTGGTGCTTCACATGTGGTCCCATTTAAATTTGATCAAGGTCTGACCAATAGTTTTTGAGTTCTTCTTAATAATTTATATTGAAGTCGGTTGTACAAATTTTTTAATTTTTAATTATTAAGTGATTTTTTTGTCAGGTGTGCAATAAATACCATTGTAGTCTTTCAGCGTCTGAGTTTTGTCTACCGTTACCATAGTATTGTTATTATGAAAAGACCCGATATCCATTTTTCAGACCATCTCCGAAAGCCATGATCAGGCCACGAAGGACGAAGAGGAAGCGGACAGACTTGAGCAAGAGAGACGCGACAGAGAGAAGCAGAAAAATATTAAGAAGAAAGCGCGTAAACTGCGACAGAAATTGCTGGCCACGTGAGTGTTTCATATAATACTGTAATTGTGATGCGAGGTTAATAAATATATAAATTACACTTGCAACGAATATTCGGTTATTTATTTAAATCTGGTAGGTTTCATATTAAGTAAAATGTTTATGAAATAAAATGAGATTGTTTGCGCCAAATGCTAAATGTTTAAAACTGCATTACGAGCGCTGACGTCCGATGGCAACAGGGATTGCTGTCGGGCCTCCTGCCCGCGCGCGTTCCCCGCTCACGCCCGGTCACTCGATGTGTCGATTAACGGGACGGTGGGCCGAGGCGTCTCGCGCGACGAGTCAGTCTGAAATCTCCGTTGAACGGCGTGGCGCGGCGGAAGTAAAAAAAAAAAGCAGTACGGTCTAGCACGACGTGGTCGTTCGGTATAACCTCCTTTGTTAGTGTCGGTTTGTTAGCAAATTTATGCGACGACGAGGTTTTTGTTGAGTCTAGAAAAATAGACGCCGTTTGGTTATCCTAGTGCGTTCACGCGACGACGAAGTAGTAATAATTTGATTGATTAACCTAAATTCGTTGGCAAGTAATTTACGTAATTGCATAGTGATTGCCGGTTGAAGTGCTTGACAATAATAATTCGCGTCAACGAGTTGCTTTGTGCCATTTGATTTAACTCGGAGATATTTTCCTGGGTCGGTTAAAACCGCTAAACTTTGTGACCCGCGAGAAGCGTTCGTAATAGATTATAGATTTGTGCTAATGGACGCTAGACTTTGAGTGACACCGAGTGACGTCGCTGGAATAATACCACATAGGGTGGCGGTGCTGGAGTCAGGGTCGCTGCTGATTAAAAGGGCTAATTCAGGTTACACAGATATACACTTCTCACACACTACTTACATTCACGACAATTAGCACCTGAACGAGCCCTGTGAGCTTTCTTCGCCTCTGAACAAGTACGTACTATTTATTTACCTAGCCTTCTCCCTATTGTGTAGTAAGATAGAACATTTTCCATAAGTCATTTTGAGCCCCACACTTAGTTGTCCGTCGAACCTAACAGCTGTATGGGCCTCTGTATGGTAGACCTTAGTCTGAGCAACTAGGTGCGTGAACAGAGATAATTGGTAAAAGGAAAATATTGGATATTTTTACGTGGTAGAGCCATGCTGCACCTATGTTATGGTTGTAGCACGAATGAGTCGGCTCGATCGGGGAAGGACCACGCTCTCACAGAATACCAGCGTACAATAGCAGCTTAACTCTGCTGTGTTTCGTATGGTGAGTGTAGAGAACCGGAGAGCCTTTTTACTGGAAACGAGGCATTCCATGTTAGTCCTCACGAGTGACAATGCATCTGCATTTTGATTCGTAATCGAAGATAGATGTAGATGTCTATGGGCCACAGCAACCACTTACCATCAGGTGGACTGTGTGTTTGTTTCTCACGCTTATCATATAAAAATAATGTGATTTTCTTGTAATCGTTGAAATACTCATAGCTGCGTAATCAACTTACATTAGATAAAATTAATTAAAAAAAACTATTAAATAAGTTTGTATGTACTTGAATTATCGTAATTAAAATTTAGAAGTAGAAGATTATGGTACAGAAAGACAAATTTTTCTTAAGTTTCAAAGCAATCGTTTACTTCTTTTCTTCTCGTAGACAGTATCAGCTCAGACACTCTGAATAAACAGCGCTACTTCCATCTCGGCCGAATACTTTTGCCTAATATTCTGCTATTCGGCTATTCAGCCAGGAAGCCCGCAGAATATTTGGTATTCGATGTACGGCCGTATGGCTGTATTCGTTGCAAGTGTAATATAAATATTTATTAATAATATAATAATAATAATATAATAAAGTTTTATTTCTCTACACATTTACAGAGTTAACAAAAAAAAATACATAGAACTATTAGAAATTATTTGTTGGTTTATGTAGTCCTTCTTGGGTAAAAGCCTCCTCCAACTTGAACCATTCTTCGAGGTTTTTAGCAATTTGCATCCATTGTTCTCCTGCTGTGTTAATGTCATCCACCCATCTTTTCCTTTGCCGTCCTACATTCCTCTTGCCAAATAGGCCCTTCCATTTTGTTGTTTGGTAGGTCCATCTTTTGTTCTGATATCTAGCTATGTGTCCTGCCCATTTCCATTTTTGTATTTGGCTATTTTGAAGTGCATCCGTTAATTTAGTTTACTTGCGGATCTCTATATTTCTTGTTTTTTGTATTCTTCTTAATTTAATGATGCTTCTCTCCATAGCATGTTGGCAGGACAAAATTTTGTTTTTCACTCTTTCAGTATACACCAATGTTTGGCTTGCATATGTTAGACTTGGGAGGATACACGAGTCCATTATGACCTTTTTCATTCTTAGGCTGTAATTCCCTTTAAGGATTTCTTTTTGAGCGCAATATTTTTCCAAGCTATGTTTATTCTTCTGTCTATTTCTTTTTCATTGCTGTTTAGTTCGAAAGATATCAGTTTGCCTAAATATACATAGTCATCAACATATTCAATGGACTTTCCTTCTATTTTGATTGGTTTTTTGGAGCTGTTTGTAATAATTTTTGTTTTTGATAAATTAATTTCAAGTCCCACTTTTTGGCTTTGGGTGTTCAGGCTCTGAAGCATGATTTCTAATTCAGTTGCAGATTCACTAAAGAGAGCTATGTCATCAGCAAATCGTAGGTGTGTTAATCTTTTATTTATTATCCATATACCTTTGTTTTTCCATTCTAGGTTTTGAAATATGTCTTCAAGGACGGCTATAAATAGTGTGGGTGAAAGAGGGTCACCTTGCCTCACTCCTTTCCCAATTTCGAACTCTTCTCCGTGTCTTTCTAGTTTATTTTGCTTGTACTCTTAGCATATATGTTCTTTAGCACACTAATGTATTTTTCATTTATTTTGTTTTTTCTCAAAGCCTTCCATATATGTGAATGTGATATGCTGTCAAACGCCTTAGCATAATCTACAAATGCTATGTATAACGGCATGTTGTATTCTTTGTATTTTTCTATTATTTGTTCCATAGCGTGTATGTGATCCATTGTTGAGTAGTGTGGTCGGAAGCCTGCTTGTTCTATTGGTTGGTTTCTGTCTATGTCTGGGGCTATTCTACTTAGGATTATCGAAGAGAACAGTTTATAGATTGAAGATAGTAGACTAATTGGTCTATAATTGTTGATATCAAGTGGATTTCCTTTTTTATAGAGCAGTATTATGTTTGAGCTGCACCATTGTTTAGGAATTTGTTCTTGTTGTATGATTAAGTTGAATAGTTTCGTCAGGTAGTTTACTAGAATAGGTGACCCAAATTTTAGAGCTTCATTTGTGATTTTATCTGGTCATGGGCTTTTTTCAGACTTAAGTCTTTTTATATGTCGTTCTATCTCCTCTTCGGTTATAGGAGTTAAAGTTACTTCTTCTAGTTGGGATTCTCTAGTGTGTTTAATTTCCGATTGTTCATCCTTTTGAGTTTCATCTTGAGATGTTCTTCTGTAAAGTTCTGAGAAGAAAGCTGTTGCGCGCTTTACTATGTCTTCTCTGTTTCTTGTTTTCTCTTTTCCATCTTGAAGACCTTGTATCCAGTTTTTATGCGTTGACAGCTCTTTAAAAGCTCTCTTTGAACCTTTATATGTTGCCATATTTCTCTTTATGATTAATCGTCTATGTCCTTCGTAATCTTGCCTGATTGCTCTGTTTGTCTTCTTATATAGTTATTTTAATTCGTGTCTCATTTCTTTAGTTTATTCTCTTTTAGATAGGAGTTCTGTACGCTTAGAAATCAGTTCTTGTGTTAATAATTTTTGGTTTTTCGTTACTTGTTTTTAATGCTCTATCCTGTTCTAGACTATTTGTGAAGGTTTTTTCCAGCCCGTTGCTCAGAGTTTGTACATTTTCTGTGTTCTTCATTGTTTCTTCTAATATTGTTGTATTTTCTTTTAGCTTTTCTAGATAAGTTTGTTTTTCTTTAGATGTCTTTAGCATGTTATTTGGGGCTTTAAATGCTGTTCATTTTTGGGGTTCGGAGATTCAGCCAACATCTGACCAATTTATGATCTGATGGGAAATTTATATTGTTTAAAACCTCTAAATTTGTAATTACTTTGGGGTTGTAACTTAGTATGAAATCGATTTCGTTTTTTGTCTTGTTGTCTGGATACATCCAAGTCCATTTGTGAGAGTACCTCTTCTTGAAATGTGTGTTCATCACTGATAGTTTGTTTTCATATGCGTATTGAATTAATAGTTCCCCTCGTGGATTTCGTTGGCCGTATCCGTACCGTCCCATTATCATATGTTCTTCATGAGTCGGGTACCCGATTTTTGCATTTAAGTCTCCAATGACTAGTAGGGTCTTATCTGCTTGTTTTTGCGCTTTTTGTAAATCCATGTAGAAACTTTCAATTTCTTCCTCACTGGAGCTCTCAGTGGGGGGCGTAAACTTAATAATAGACAGTGATACCTTCTTGAAGTTCATTTTTAACAAAGCGACTCTTTGTGATATGCATACGAAGCTCACAATATTTTGTTTCAATGTTTTTTTTTATTAAGAAACCTACGCCATGGAGTCCCAATGTCTCGCCAGAAAATATAATTGTTATCTTCTTTTATACTGTACCCTAATCGTTTAACATCGGCGGGTCCTATGATGTCCCAGTTAATTTTGGCTATTGCATTTTCTAATTCTAATAATCTTGTCATTGATGATAGTGATTTACGTTATAGGTGCATATTTTCAAGTTGTGTAGTTCTTCCGATTCACATTTTAGATTTTCAGATTTTTCAATGGAGGGCTGTGGTCTTCTTCCCCCACGGTGACCAGCCGGCTTGGGGTGCTGATTGTCTTTATTTTATTTTGTTGCATTGTTTGATTTCTCTTATCTGGATTCCAGTTGAGGGAGGCAGTTATTAGTTTTTTTGAAGTTTTAGGCTCAGACACCGATGATGCTTTACCTCGTGCCGCATAATTGACTATGCTTGGTTTTACTATTCCTTGTGTATTATTTGTAGATGGCTCATTAATACGTTTGTCAGTAATCTGTTTCTTCTTGGTGTTTTGTGCCATTGTTTCTGGTGATTCTACCTTTTCTCTTTTCCTTTTCTCACAGTTAGAATCTTTTAGGTTTTTTACTACTAACTTATCGTATTTCAGAAATGCTAAATTTCCCTTCTTTCTTTCTTCTTCCAGCATTGGTTGGAGTTTTTTGCGAGTTTCCTGAACCTCTTTAGGAAAGACTTCTTTAATATTGATGCCTTTAGGTATGTTAGATTTGTTCTTCTGAATAAGATGTTTTTTCCATGTTGTTGTTAATGAGACCACTACCGGTCGATTTTATTTGAACGTTGCCTAATTCTATAGACTGACTATCTCTTGACTGTCCAGGTGTATGCCCATCCCCACTATGATTTCTTTCAAATAGTCTACTAATTCACATTCTGTTTTCTGTTTCTCTTCTATGCCGAAAAATACTAGATTGTTCTTTCTCCTTTCCTTTTCCATGGATTCTATTTTCTGTTCAAGGTTTGTTATTTTCGTTTTTAAGGTTCTGTTTTCTTCCAAGAGTGTTTTCATTTTTTTGTCGAGTGCTTGCATGACATTATTGGTGACATTGGCGGTTATTGTCAAAGTTTGTTGGTTCAGCTGCTCGTCCAGTTTAGCTAGCAGCAATTCCGTACTTTGATCCATATTTATTTTGGTATAATTTACAATTTTGGTAGAATTTACAATTTTTCTACTGACATCACTACTAGAACTATCAAAATACAAGTTCCTTCGTTCATTCGTTAGGTTGGCACTACTTTTGTATAGAGTATCAGATGGTTATCTTTATAATAAATGTTCTTGATTTCACTATATACACTATTTTCCACTGAGATTTCTTCGTAATTGGAAGCTACAGTGGGTTTCTTCAGATATTTTCAGTTTTATGGTTAATTAACTAGTTTTAATAGCAATTGTGAATTATTTCGACGGAGCTGATTCGTATACGTGTTAACGTCCACAATACCGGAACCGGCTTTCTTATTTAAAATTTATTTATTAATAATATTTTATAATAATAATATAAACAAAGATACAGGGATACTTAGATGTTTTAGTTATTTATAATCATTATTAACGTGCTTACTAATTAAAAAGTATATGAACCACCGTTGCCTATATTGCATAGTTTACAAAAAAAATTATTTTATTTTCAAGCTTTAAGATTAGTTGGAGCGGTTAGTAGGAATACCGTACTATTAATATTAATAGTGTCTCTAGTATTCTTTTTAAAAGCTTTTCATCAATGCAAACAATTTATCAGACGTATATCCTGTGACTATTTTATTGAGAGTTATGGCTTGGATGTTTGTACTTTAAGCCATGTCTTCATTTCATTCGGGATGTTCGTTTTTATAGATTATCAGTATTAAGTGATAATAATCCTTTATAGTACACTGCTTCACAGTATGTTGCTGCGTAAGTTTTAGGAGATTTTGACGGCAGCTCGAGCCAGCAGACAGTTGGCGATTCTCAAGGCGCCTAAGCAGACAGACACATTATTTCGAGATTCACATCACCATCGGAGCACTTGTATAGCCGTTTCCGCTAATAATTCCCATGCGCAGACATTTAATAAACAAAATTGCACCACTTTTACATATCAAAATCCACTTCAAAACATTATTTAAACAATAATACAGGAACAGCATTTCGCCGCCGGTCAAGTTCCCGCCAAAACTCCTATTTTGTAACTAAGAAATTATAAATGGATTAATACATATAGACAGTGTACTCACAGCATCCACTTACCACCAGGTGGACTGTATGCTCGTTTGTCACTCTTATTATTAAAAAAAAATACATTTTGATGTCTAAATAATTTTAAAATAAGACATAATTAAGAGCTATATAAAAAAATCGTTTAAAATTTTTCAGAGGCAACGAAAACCTAATTTTAGATGATCACAGTCCATACGAGCCGTTCAACTTGCCTATAGTCAATAAAATGTACAAAGTTGTACAACAAATTACCAATATCATTGCACCATTGCTTGATGATGAACAGCCCAACGCTAAGGTCAACCACAACGGTGTAGATTTTGACGAGAAACCTAAGAAGCACAAAAATAAAAAACCCAAAGCAGTAAACGGAGATATCGAGCATGAAGACAAGAAGAAATTTAAAAAGAGGAAGACAGAAGATGACCAAAACACTAATGGCGGTGTCAGTGTCGAGAACAATAATAACACTGAACTGGAGATCATTAATCTAGAGGAGAAGGTGGAGACAAAGAAAAAGAATAAAAAGAAAAACAAAGATAACGAGGCCAATAACGATAGGAATAAAAATGATAAACCCAAATTAAGTAAGGCGAGCTCTATTTGTAGCTCTTTGAGCGACACAAGCAGGGGAAGTAAGAAATGCGAGAACAAATTTGCGGTCGTAATCGACCATATGCTACTGGAGAGACAGCTGAATGAGTTGTATAGAATGATGGAAAGGTTGGACACGGTAAGTTTTTAAAATAGAACATATTATAAATAATTATGTTAGTGCTTTGCTTTCTTGGCATACAAGTGACGAAACACCTTTTGGAACCTGACCAGAATATTAATTAGGTTATGAAATAAAATTTTAAGTCGGCGACTTAATATTGTAATGTCATGTAGTGGCGGTGTAATATTCCGTAATGTCGTAAAAAGCGACAGATGAAAATAGGCATCAGTACTTCCTAATCAAAACAATTAGACTTTGCAATATAATAGTTGCAATATAATAATAGTTATTTGTTTTTATACGTGGTAGAGCCATGCTGCAGCTATATTAGTAGTATAGTTGTAGCACGAATGGGTCGGCTCGACCGGGGAAGCACCATGCTCTCACAGAATACCAGCGTAAAATAGCATCTTAACACTGTAGTGTTTCGCATGGTGAGTGTAGAGAACCGGAGACCCCTTTTTTACTGGAAAAAGGCATTCCATCTTAGTCCTCACGGGTGACAACGCATCTGCATTTTGATTCTTTATTGTAGATGTAGATGTCTATGGGTCACAGAAACCACTTACCATCAGGTGGACTGTGTGCTCCTTTGTCACCCTATCCTATAAAAAAAAAATAGTTGATTGCTAGCTATAAACTATTGACTTAAAATACGGGGGTGGCACTGAAAATTTCGGGAATCAAGGAAGTGACACAACGGGACTATTTAAAAATGTATTTATTGCTTTTCGAAGTATTCTCCGCGAAATTTGACACATTTTTCCATACGATGGAACGAATCATTGAATCAACCATTCCATTCGGAATTTGGGGTCTCCAAAATGGCCGTTTTGTAGGCGTCCACAGCTTCTTCAGGTGATGAAAATCTCTGTCCACGCAATTTATTCTTTATTTTAGGGAAAGTATAGAAATCATTAGGGCTTAGGTCGGGGCTGTATGCCGGATAGTCTAATAATTCTATGTTTTCTTTCTCTAAACACTCTTTTGTTCTGTGTGCGGTGTGAGAACTCGCATTGTCGTGATGGAGGATGATGCGGCGGTTGCAGTTCTCTTTACGGAGTTCAGAAACGACCTGTGGCAAACAAATGCTAGCATACCATTCTGCATTAACCGTTCTTTGTCCCTCAAGAGGAATAGTCGTAACATGGCCGGTTTTGGAGACAAACGTGGCCACCATTTTTTTGCAACACTCCGTGAACTAACAACTTTTGTTGTCTTTAACTCATTTTCGAACACCCCAACTCGTGACTGGTTTTTTGTTTCGGGTTCGTACGCGTATATCCAGGATTCGTCACCTGATACGATGTTGTATACAGCATTTGAGGATCCTGCGTGGAATCTTTCGAGAGTTCTGACGCACCAAGTAACGCGAGCCACTTTTTGCTCTTCACAGTATCCATCGGGAAAACAACTTTTTTACACCTAATTGTTCATGCAAGATTATTTGTATTTGACTCATGCCAATGTCTAAAGTTTCCGGAATGTCGCGGTATGTCACATGTCGATCTTTCTCAATCAGCTTACGCATAGTATCAACGTTTTCTTGGGTGACTGCAGTTTTTGGACGACCTTGACGGGGATCATCACTGAGCTTGTCACGTCCACGTTGAAATTCAGCAAACCAGCGATAAATTGTGGTTTTGGATGGGGCTTCATCACCAAATGCAGAAATCATCCGGTCAACACACTGTTTTTGTGTTAAACCACTTCGAAAGTCATAATAAATCATCGCTCTTGAATTTTCTCGAGTCAATTCCATTTTCTCAACGACTAAATAAGTTTGACAAAACCTTGTGACAAGACCGAGAATCTTTTTTTAAATAAATAAATAGTATTCGATTTTTAAAACCAAGGACTTCAATTAAAAAAAAAATGTGACAGGAACAGTGGAAATATTCCATTCCCGATACTTTTAGTGCAGCCCTCGTACTACAAGCTACTGACTACTTTGAAAGTCTAATAAAACGCGATAAGATCAGTAAAATTAGTTTAAGTAATTTTCTTTTGTTGATGCCAGCAGTCAGCAGAACGGTCAGCAGTTAACGATACACCTTTTTACGTCATTTAATTATTTTTGGTGTTTCCTGTATTTATACATATACCTTATCTTATTGTTTAATATTCCTCAAATGTTTCTGCAAAGTAATTATTTTTAGGATATATATTATTTTTACATATTATAAGAAATAAGAAGGTCCATTGTGGGAGCCTTGTGGCAACCCAGATGTGTTATAAATATTACAGAAGTATGGCACTACCCACAACAGCCTTCCAAGCGTACACAACTTTGAAGGTGTATGTCAGTCAACGAAAAATGTTACAAGATATTCTAGTCAGTCTTTAATTGATTGGTTTTTTTTTGTGACTGACAATATCAAACGCTTTGAAGATATCTAAGTATATTGCATAAACTTGGTTTTACTTAATAAACGTTGGTTAACTTGGGTTAGGTGGATTGCCGCCCATCTTCTTGTTATTTAATTACGACACCCACGGGATGATATGGGGTTGGGGATATTCTACACAGTCATCTTACAATGATGAAAACTCATTAGGTAGTTGATTGTATATAGTGGCTTAGCCCATTTCTACAAGGTTTTTGCAATTAATGAGTGGCGGTATATCTATTTGAAATTTCGAATCCGGAACATCAGTGCCACTGTGAGGGTATTAGCTCTGCCTTTTGCCTCCTGTCCTGAAATGCACACTCCTCACTCTCAGACACTTCCAATGAGGGTTAATAATTTACCTCTCACCAGATGTCGCTAGTTGGGACTAAGGTGAAGTTATTTTTTTTTCTATATAGAGTAAGTGATTACAAAAGAGCACACAGTTAACGTGATGGTAAGTGGATGCTGTGGCCCATAGACATCTACATCTATCCTCGATTTAGAATATTTGAACATTCAGATGGGTTGCCACGCACAGGCGTGTACAGAAAGAAAATTTTACCATTACATTTTTCGAACAAATTAACTTCCCCGCTATGAAATCTGTCAAATATTACACCTCATTCCTGGTGGCAGAAAAAGTTGTGGATTCATTCCTCATTGAGATTTGGCGTAAGAAAAAATAAATTACAATATATTGTATTATATTGTAATCAAATACACACTAGAAATATTGCAAATTGAATCAATGAAAATCATACAAAAATATAAATCGCAAGATATTCCGCGCGCAAATCCTATGCCTTGACAATCGAGATTTACTATAGAATGTTTAAATTTTATTACAGTCAAACAGGACAAGGAAGTTTGGCATCGCTTTTTCTTCATGCATCTAGTTCAAGGTTAGGAAGTAAGGCATCGTTGCATAATATCTACCTACGAATAATGGTATTTGTTGGACAACAATATCGTCTGCACACTATCTAGCGTGCCAATGTTTAAACTAGGTTTTGGCGCTTTTGTTTGTCAAGTTGTCAAAATTCACACACTACTAAAGAAGTGTCAAAATTTTCCTAGATTTCATTATTGTTTTTCTTAATAAATACTGTAAGTTATTTCCTAATAAGGTCAATCGCGAGCACATTTCATTATAGAAAAGTGATAAAATGATTAGTTTTAAACAAATAGTGTCTGTGTTTAACGTATATTTCAAAACCAAAATGTATGGCGCGACTATCGGAGGATCCCCCTTAATGTGTTAATTTTTTTTAAATGTTTCATACAAAGGTGTGCTTTTGTGTTTCCGCCAGTGGGGTCCAGATATACTATCAGTGGCGAGGCTGCAGGGTTTGAAGGCGGGCGTTCGCTTGTTGGCACTTGCAGCTGACTCGCAGCTAGCACATACATTTCCTGCCAGGTAACATTAGCGTTGACAGTAACTATTAAATACAGCACAATACAATACAATACTCATTCTTGTACACTAAGGGTAGATATATATAACAATAAAAATATTGTTCGTGTATTTGTGTACACACAGACCAAGTGTAACTTCTTTATGACATATTTTTTTTTTATATATCCACTTAACCGTCCACCCCGCGCGAGTGAATCTTGCCTCACCTGTCCGCGCATTAAATGTCACTATTTTTTTTAAGACCGCGCGACACTGTCTAAACAGAAACGATTACTACTGAAACACTACCATAGCTACATTTAAATAAAAAATATTCTCAAAAGACTCAAAGAATTTAAAATTTAATTTTGTTAAAAGAAAATTAGTCAAATTAAAAATGAAGGCTGAAAATAAAGCTTAAAAATGGGAATATAAAAATAAAACATTTTTTTTTTAATTTTGAATTTTACACGAAAAGTGTAATAACTACTGGAGACAATTATTTTATATTATAATAGTATATGATATTCTTATATTATATATATTCTCTATATTATAGGTTTTATATTAAAATTAGAGTGAAAGTTCATTAGTCCGTACTTGGAAATAGGTTAAGTGGTTAACAATTTGTTTTAAAAATTTAGTAATAAAGGATGTTCTAAATTTAGAATTATTATCATAATAAATATATAGGAAATATATTATATAAAAAGTTATAAAAGGTGATATTATAGAACTGTTATACGTGGTATTTACGTTGTAGTTATATTATGGTTGTAGCACGAATGGGTCGGTTTTAATGGATTAGGATTACTTTCTCATATAATATCATAGTAAAATTGTAGCTCAATGTTGATGTGTTTTGTATGGTGAGTGTAGGGAACTGGAGACTTTTTTATCGGAAGTGAGGCATTTCATTTTAGTTTTCATAGGGGTGATAATGTATTTAAATTTTTGATTTTTAATTCAGTATAAAAGTAGATGTCTATGAGCTACAGAGTATCTATCTATTATTAGGTAGACTGTGTGCTCGTTTGTCATCTTTATTCTTAAAAAAAAATATTCAATGCATATGAGCGGGGTATGAGCGAGTGTGTGATAGTGTGTATGGTTAGGTTTATGTATATTTTTGTGTTTGTGTCTGCGCGTGTGTGTATTCGTCATTGTTTGTTATTAATGATATGTTAAATAAATAAATTAACGGTAACGATATATATGTGTTGTGGTGTTTTTTTTTTATAGAATATGGGTGGCAAACGAGCATATATCTCACCCTATATTTATTTTCGATTAAGATTCAAAATACATATGCGTTGTCATCCGTGAGGATGGAATTGCCTTGTTTCCAGCAAAAAGGGTTTTCGGTTTTGTATACTTACCATACGAAATACAGTAGTATTGAGTTATTATTTTACGTTGGTATTGTGTGAGAGCGTGGTCCTGTTCTGGTAGAAGTGAGTCGTTCGTGTTGTGCGTGGTGAGCACGTGGTGACGTGGTGACGTGGTGGCGGCAGGTGCGTGGTGGCGTGCGTGCGCGTGGTGGCGCGCGCCTGCGGCGTGCTGCCGGCGCGCCTGCTGGCGTCCGGCGCGCCCGTGCACCTCGTCACGCTGCTGGCCGACACGCTCGTGAGTACTGCACAACAATATCCAACCTACACTTGCACACCTCACGCAACATGTGTGCGTGCGTGCGCGTGCTGCCGGCGCGCCTGCTGGCGTCCGGCGCGCCCGTGCACCTCGTCACGCTGCTGGCCGACACGCTCGTGAGTACTGCACAACAATATCCAACCTACACTTGCACACCTCACGCAACATGTGTGCGTGCGTGCGCGTGCTGCCGGCGCGCCTGCTGGCGTCCGGCGCGCCCGTGCACCTCGTCACGCTGCTGGCCGACACGCTCGTGAGTACTGCACAACAATATCCAACCTACACTTGCACACCTCACGCAACATGTGTGCGTGCGTGCGCGTGCTGCCGGCGCGCCTGCTGGCGTCCGGCGCGCCCGTGCACCTCGTCACGCTGCTGGCCGACACGCTCGTGAGTACTGCACAACAATATCCAACCTACACTTGCACACCTCACGCAACATGTGTGCGTGCGTGCGCGTGCTGCCGGCGCGCCTGCTGGCGTCCGGCGCGCCCGTGCACCTCGTCACGCTGCTGGCCGACACGCTCGTGAGTACTGCACAACAATATCCAACCTACACTTGCACACCTCACGCAACATGTGTGCGTGCGTGCGCGTGCTGCCGGCGCGCCTGCTGGCGTCCGGCGCGCCCGTGCACCTCGTCACGCTGCTGGCCGACACGCTCGTGAGTACTGCACAACAATATCCAACCTACACTTGCACACCTCACGCAACATGTGTGCGTGCGTGCGCGTGCTGCCGGCGCGCCTGCTGGCGTCCGGCGCGCCCGTGCACCTCGTCACGCTGCTGGCCGACACGCTCGTGAGTACTGCACAACAATATCCAACCTACACTTGCACACCTCACGCAACATGTGTGCGTGCGTGCGCGTGCTGCCGGCGCGCCTGCTGGCGTCCGGCGCGCCCGTGCACCTCGTCACGCTGCTGGCCGACACGCTCGTGAGTACTGCACAACAATATCCAACCTACACTTGCACACCTCACGCAACATGTGTGCGTGCGTGCGCGTGCTGCCGGCGCGCCTGCTGGCGTCCGGCGCGCCCGTGCACCTCGTCACGCTGCTGGCCGACACGCTCGTGAGTACTGCACAACAATATCCAACCTACACTTGCACACCTCACGCAACATGTGTGCGTGCGTGCGCGTGCTGCCGGCGCGCCTGCTGGCGTCCGGCGCGCCCGTGCACCTCGTCACGCTGCTGGCCGACACGCTCGTGAGTATCCCTTCCACTTCTACACTCTGTAACATCCAACCTGCACTTGCACACCTCACGCAACATGTGTGCGTGCGCGTGCTGCCGGCGCGCCTGCTGGCGTCCGGCGCGCCCGTGCACCTCGTCACGCTGCTGGCCGACACGCTCGTGAGTACTGCACAACAATATCCAACCTACACTTGCACACCTCACGCAACATGTGTGCGTGCGTGCGCGTGCTGCCGGCGCGCCTGCTGGCGTCCGGCGCGCCCGTGCACCTCGTCACGCTGCTGGCCGACACGCTCGTGAGTACTGCACAACAATATCCAACCTACACTTGCACACCTCACGCAACATGTGTGCGTGCGTGCGCGTGCTGCCGGCGCGCCTGCTGGCGTCCGGCGCGCCCGTGCACCTCGTCACGCTGCTGGCCGACACGCTCGTGAGTACTGCACAACAATATCCAACCTACACTTGCACACCTCACGCAACATGTGTGCGTGCGTGCGCGTGCTGCCGGCGCGCCTGCTGGCGTCCGGCGCGCCCGTGCACCTCGTCACGCTGCTGGCCGACACGCTCGTGAGTACTGCACAACAATATCCAACCTACACTTGCACACCTCACGCAACATGTGTGCGTGCGTGCGCGTGCTGCCGGCGCGCCTGCTGGCGTCCGGCGCGCCCGTGCACCTCGTCACGCTGCTGGCCGACACGCTCGTGAGTATCCCTTCCACTTCTACACTCTGTAACATCCAACCTGCACTTGCACACCTCACACAACATACCCTAAATCAAAATCATCATCAAATCATACCACACTTTTCACCAAAATACACTAACAAACGAATTCTCAATCGTTTATAAACCAACTAGTTGTTACCCGTGACTTCATGGACTTCAATTTTTTTGCGCGTAACCCTAATTCTTTTTCTATAATAAAAGTACCCTGAGTTACTGCTTATGCATCAACTATTTGCCAGTGAAAACCTCGTCAAAATCAATCCAACCATTTCATAGATTAGCCGAAACTAACACAAATAAAAGCTTTTAGAAAAATTTTTACTTCGCAAATATCCGCGTTATAAAATAAAATGATGTCTTACCTAGTATGAAGAGCACCTCCCGCCCTCCCTCAATTGCGTGCACTATCCCCGTCACCACTAATCCCAGCACCGCTACTCCCAACACCACTACACTAGGCAAGACACACCACTGACGATAATACGACACGTGTTTCGCCTCTACACGAGGCATCCTCAGGTGATATAGACTCTACGGTGGCTATCCGCTAAGTGAGCGGCGAGTCAAAACAAGTGCTTTTTATACAGACCGATGACGCAACCGCTCTCGACTTAAGGAGCGAGCGACTGCGTCATGCGATAAAACATGCGACCAATCACCGCCGGATTTACGCAGCCCTTTGTAAATTTAAAAACAAACCGCCGCGCAACGCCCACCCTCCAACCACGCAACCAATCGCCGAACACCGTGTGGGTGACAAACGACCATATTGCGAGGCTCTCTATTATTAGAGAGCAGGCTTAAAGATATTTAAGAGAGGTGAGTTAGTAACATTTGTTTGTTCATTCAGCAATGCAACGGTACTATTGTTACTTTTTAATATCTCTAACTGTTCCAGCACACACAGCCCCAGCCCTTTATTACACGTATGTAAGACTTTAAAGGAGTGGTTGTTGGCTAGGTTGTGTCCAGTGTCCAAAAGATGTTTGGCAAAATGGGATTTATCGGGAATGCAATTCCTGTACGCTGCTAAATGCTCTTTATAACGTGTCTCGAAATTGCGACCAGTCTGAGCCACGTAAACGGCGTGGCATTCGTCACAAATAAGTTTGTAAATACCTTACTTTTGACGAATATTTAACTTATCTTTATTATTACAGATATTTCTAAGAGAATTTTTTGTATTGAACGCCACATAAACGCCGTTTTGTCGAAGAGTATTAGCTACTTTTTCAGATATGGGGTCTAAGTAGGTCAAACTGCTCACATATCGATGAACACTTTGAGGTACCGCGTACAGAGAGTTGCGAACAACATGCTTTTGTTTCTTTTTAATTAAATTGTTAATGAGATTTTTTGAAAAACCGTTAGAGACCGCTATTTGATAAATTATATTAAGTTCTTTTAAATAATTTTCTTTACTTAATGGGACAGTGAACAAACGGTTAATGTAACAATAAAAAGCGGCTACTTTATGTTGCCACGGATGACACGATGACGCGGAGGTGACCGTGTGGCTGTGTGTGCTGGAACAGTTAGAGATATTAAAAAGTAACAATAGTACCGTTGCATTGCTGAATGAACAAACAAATGTTACTAACTCACCTCTCTTAAATATCTTTAAGCCTGCTCTCTAATAATAGAGAGCCTCGCAATATTTATTTATTTATTTATTTATTTCAACACTTACAACTATCTTTACAGGTAATCCTAATACGATAGTGTAACTATTCTATATGCTATTATGGTCTAATATGGTCGTTTGTCACCCACACGGTGTTCGGCGATTGGTTGCGTGGTTGGAGGGTGGGCGTTGCGCGGCGGTTTCTTTTTAATTTTACAAAGGGCTGCGTAAATCCGGCGGTGATTGGTCGCATGTTTTATCGCATGACGCAGTCGCTCGCTCCTTAAGTCGAGAGCGGTTGCGTCATCGGTCTGTATAAAAAGCACTTGTTTTGACTCGCCGCTCACTTAGCGGTTAGCCACCGTAGAGTCTATATCACCTGAGGATGCCTTGTGTAGAGGCGAAACACGTGTCGTATTATCGTCAGTGGTGTGTCTTGCCTAGTGTAGTGGTGTTAGGAGTAGAGGTGCTGGGATTAGTGGTGACGGAGATAGTGCACACAATTGAGGGAGGGCGGGAGGTGCTCTTCATACTAGGTAAGACACATCATTTTATTTTATAACGCGGATATTTGCGAAGTAAATTTTTCTAAAAGCTTTTATATAATGGATTTCCGCAAAGTAACGCTTGATTCTATTAACTGACAAATATTTTTTTTATTATTAGTACCGTACCTATATACTTTTATAATTAATTATTCTTTTTGTTATTAAAATGATTATGCTTCATGATTAATGTCACCTAAAAATTCCACAAAACAACCAATAAAATTAATAGAACACGTATAAATTCTTACAATAATAATATTAAAAAAAAACCATCAATATAAACATTCTCATGAAACAAACATTTTCAATCAAAACAATATCTATTATTCAAATAATAATTCATTTCAACTCTTTAATTAAAAATAACCAACATTAAAAAAAACAATAGTATTTCATTACGAGTGCGGAAAGCCTGTCCAGTACACACACTGTTCCACACGTGTACTGAACAACTATTTTCAATACATTTGCGAAAAAATGAAACAATTTAATAAAGAACATTTTTGGAAAATGGCGCCAACCGTAAAAGAATATCAGCAGAGATTTTTTGTTTTCTTCACCCATTCTGGGTAGGCAAAGGGAACTATGCCCATACAGCCAAGTCTTCAGTAGAATTTTTTTATTTATATGAAATGAAAATTAAATTTAATGAGATGAAATGAAATGAAACCTAACCTAACTCATTGATTCGAATCATCAAATCTGATATTGAAACAAATTCGTAGCATCTTTTTAGAAATATTTGCATGAATCATAAACACTTCTATGAATTTTTTTTTAGTAAAAACTTCGTGGTTCATTTTTCTTTTTAATAGACATTATTTTGACAGTTGGGAAAGAAAACACACGCGTTCGGAAAGGGTAAAGAAAAAGCAC